ACATTAATATTATTTCCGCACAAAGCCATTAATTCCATTCTCATAGTTCATATCAACAAAATCTTACATATTGAATATATAATTAAAAATATTTTTCCTCTACTCATAATTAATAATAGTTCATTTACGTTAATACTTCCTCTTACATTGTTAAATTTCTTTGACAGATATTAAAATTAAAATTTTTTCAATTTCAAAGGTTATTTCCTTTCTAAGAAATAATATTAAAATGATGACTAAGTCTAGAAACTGATGAGGCAAAGTAAAAACAAATTTTAACATTTTAAATGCAATTTAAAAGCTATTAATGCAAATTTGTTTTTATATGAGATCAAACATTGTTTTTAATGAAGTCTAGACATTAATTATGTAAAAATAGCAAGCTTAATGGTAATTGAAAAAAATTAGATTGTAATTGCAAATATTTATTTACAAAAAGAAAAAAGTACGAAAAATGTTCAATTTCAAAAGGAAAGTAATGAAGAACAGCGAAAATAAATAAAAATCGAAATCATAAAATTAATAATTAATTGATGAATGGTAGCGAAGAGAAATAATTAAAAAAAAAACTAACAAAAAAAGGGACAAAAAATTAGTGAGATTTATAAAATGGGCCAAAAGTATCACGATAATAATTTGTACAAACAGAAAAATGTGTGCAAATTGTAATGACCTCATAGATAGAGAAAAAAAAATGTAAATGGAAAATCTATTTAGCCGCACGTTGATAATTTAAGAAAATAGTAAAAATCAATCTTAGAATGAAAATTATTTTTCTCCGCGTATTATTCGGAATAATAAATAAAAAAAAATAATAATAATTACGTACACCGTGTTATGAGTTTTAACCCGAGTTGGTCATAAACAATTATGCAAATTTAGACATTTGTTTTTGTCACTAGACTCATGACTTTGTTTTTATCAATCTCCTTTTTATTCGAATATATTCTTTAAATTATTATTATTCAATTTATTGTCGTAAAGTCGATTTAAAAATATTTTTTAATTTCGGTAAATTAAAACAAAATTTAATTATTAAAAAAGTAGTTCTAGCTAAAAAAAAAATCTGACTTGAAATAAATTTTAATTTGATGCGGAAAATTTTAATAAAAAGAACCATTTAATTAAAAAATTATTAATTTAAAAAAAACGATTCAGTTTAAAATAACGTTTAGTATAAAAAAACCTTTTAATTTTAAAAAAGCGTTTAATTTAATACATTTTAATTTAAAAAACCGTTTAATTAAAGAAAAACTTTTTAATTAAAAAGTATTACTCAAACATTGTTATAAACAATAATAATAATTAGGAATAAAATTTCAAATATGTTAAATGTTAGGTAATAACAATTTTTTTTATTTATATATAGAGATGGGAATAAGAGATGTCAGTTAAATGCGAATAATTACATGAGAAATACAAGAAGAAAAAGACACCGATGGAAAAATAAATTTCCTTTTTCCCTTGTAACATCTTTTTCTTCCAATTGTGACTAATTAGAACGTGTCAATAGGTTTACAAAGAAGTTACATTCAATTATATGGCCTTAATATTCATGGGCGGAACGATAAAATAAACACTTTGAATTATCCCGTACTTTGTAATTAAAAAAAAGCTCACGCATTCCTTTTTTTTTAATTACAATATTTTTTAAACTGATTTTTTCCTTCGATTTTATCAAATTCAAATGTCCTTCAATTAATTTTCGATATTCATATCAGGAAATACGTACAAATTTTTCTACTTTGATAAATTAGAATTAAATTAAAAATGAAAATTTATCCTTCGTATAATTTTAATTTATACTTTGATTTTTTTTAGGAACTCGTTAATTAACTGCTATCGACCAAATTATTTATTTACTACTTTTTTTAATAAAAAATTTCCAAAAAGATTTGAATAATTTAAAAAAAAATGTTTATAAAATTCTTCGCAAACATTCAATTATTTTTATAAATAAAAAAATTTTCAGACGTCTAATTATTTAAAACATAATTTTCCTAATATTTTTCGAAAAAAATCAATTATTTTAATAGATTTTTATAAAATTCTTCAAAAGAATTCAATTCAATCGATAAATAACAAAATTATTCCCGAAAATTCAATCATTTTGAGGCATTTTAATAAAATTATTTGGAAATTTCAATTATTTTTATAAATATTAACATTTTTTTTTAAATAATTCAATTATTTAAAAAAATTTTAATACAATTTTTTAAAAAAATTTAATTTTTTAAATTCTTTGGAAGAATTTAATTATTTACAAAAATATTAGATTTTTTCACGGGAATTGAATTATTTTCATAAAATTGTTCGAAAGAAATAAATTATTTTAAATACAATTTTAATTTAATTTTTTTTGAAATAATTCAATTATTCTTTTAGATTTTAATAAAATTCTTCCCAAGAATTCAATTATTTACATAAATAATTCTTCGAAATAATTCAATTATTTTGAGGCAGTTTAATAAAATTATTTGCAAAATTTAATTATTTTCATAAATAACAATATTCATCACAAGAATTTAATTATTTTCATAAATAACAATATTCAGCACAAGAATTCAATTATTTATAAAAGTAATAAATTTCTTCTTGGAAATTCAATTATTTTAAAAAATTCTAATAAAATCGTTCGAAAGAATTCAATTATTTTCATAAATAATATACAATTTTCAAAGAAATTCAATTATTTAAAACACAATTTTCATAAAATTTTTTTTAAAAATGATTTTAAAAAAAAATTTCAAGAATGTAATGATTTTAAAAACTTTATTTCAGTTCGGTGACAAAAATTCAATTATTTTCATAAATAATAAAACTCATAGTAGGATTTCAATTATTTTTAATATAATTTTAAATTAATTCTGCTAAAAACGCAGTTATTCTTAAGAATTTGAATAAAATTATTCAAAAATAATTTCAATTATTTTAACAATTTGATATAGTTTGTTTCTTTTGAGGGTAATAATTATTTTCAATTTATTTTTAATTAAATTTCTTTAATGAATTTAATTATTTTCAAAAATTTTAATGCAATTCTTTGTAAAAATTCAATTATTTTCAAAAAATGTTGATAAAGTTCTTTATAAGAATTCAAATTTAAGAAATATTCAATTATTCAATAAATTATTTATTTTTGTATTTAAATTAATTTCATCCACGTAGAGCTTTCTAATACGAATTCATTTATAATTGAATAAAATAAATTGATTAGAGTTTTGAATAATTTTATTTATAAATTTCAACAGAAAAATGATTCAATTTTAAAAGAATTACTTTTGTAATTTTTAGAAATAGAACTTAAATTTCCAAAATTCGTTACATTGAAATCATTTGAAATATTTTTAATTCCGTAGAGAAAATAAATTACCTAGGCATTTAAATATTTATTTAAAAAAATGTTTCTATTTTTGAATGTAATTAAGAAATAATAAAAAAATTGAGTCAAGTTTAATTTTTCGATAGATACTTTTTTAATACTTTTTTTTCTGTCTTTAAGCTACTTTTTGCTACTTTTTAATTTATTATCGAGATACGAAATTTGAATTCTAAATATATCAGTTTTAATTTATAATAATTTTAATGTATGCGGTTGTTTTTAATTTATAGCAATTGCAATGTTTACTTCATATATTCTCTCTAAATTTGAATTAGTTTATAAAAATGTTTACTAATTCGAATTAGTGACTGACTTTTTATTTTTGCATTAGTAAAATATATTCTCTCTAAATTTGAATTAGTTTATAAAAATGTTTACTAATTTGAATTAGTGACTGACTTTTTATTTTTGCATTAGTAAATTTTACTACTAAATAGTAATTTCTACTGTAGTTTGAATTTAAAATTTACTAATTAAATTTAAAAAAATTAAACTTAAGTAAATTTTACTAATAAATTTTCCCAACTTCGAAAAATAATTGAATTTCCAAGAAAAAAATTATTACTTTTAAAAATAATTGAATTCTTGTGATGAATATTGTTATTTATGATAATAATTGAATTTTGCAAAGAATTTTATTACAAATGCCTCAAAAGAATTGAATTCTCGGGAATAATTTTGTTATTTATCTTTAATAATTGAATTCTTTCGAAGAATTATTTACGTAAAGAATTGAATTCTTGGGAAGAATTTTATTAAAATCTAAAAGAATAATTGAATTATTTCAAAAAAAAAATTTAATTAAAATTGTATTTCAAATAATTCATTTCTTTCGAACAATTTTATTAAAATATTTGAAAATAATTGAATTCTTGTGATGAATATTGTCTTTTTTTGAAAGTAATTAAATTTTGCAATGAATTTTAATTAAAATCCCTCAAAGATAATTGAATTTTCGGGAATAATTTTGTTATTTATCTTTAATAATTGAATTCGTGGCAAGAATTTTTTTAAAATCTAAAAGAATAATTTAATTCAATTTGTATTTAAAATAATTGATTTCTTATGAACAATTTTATTAAAATATTTGAAAATAATTGATTTCTTACGAACAATTTTATTAAAATATTATTGAAAATAATTGAATTCCTGTGAAAATTTATCCCGAAATTTCCTAAAATTGTTAACATTAACACAAAACTAGTTAAAGATGATAATTTTCTACTAATTTTTGAAAATATTCCCTTTTTTTAAACTATTGTAATTTTTACTGAACTATCCAAAAAAGATATGAATAAAAATAAATGTTCAACAATCGAGAGGTTGTCTTGGGATGTTAATAATGAAATGTGCGACATGCACAGAGAATGAGAATGAGATGCGAGGATATATTTATAAGAATATAATCACTTTTCTAGAGCAATGAGGAGGAACCTTCGTCATTTATAAATTGTATATATGTATATATTGTCGTTGAATAAGAAAAATTTATCCTCGTCATGCAAAATGGATGATTGTATAGTTATCGTCTCGATAGAAATGATATGCATTAGTAAGTTGACCATCAATGTGTTTTAGAGTTCTTTTCTGCAAGAACAAAAGGTGAAGGTGGGGGTCGACATTGTAAGTTTGTCCATACACCGATTCCCACCTCATTGAACCCCCCTCAGGGTTTTTTGCGCAATCAACGTCATGGTTAAGACGTATATATAAACCTCTCATGTTCAAGAAACTTAATCGCACACTTGCTCCTGATTACTGCTAATACTCAGGTGAGACAAGTTTATGGAATTTGAATACCAACCCTCCCTCCTCCCCTTTCACAAAAAATTGCTATTCAATTTAGGGACCAAAAAAACTAAAAAAAAAAAATTCAACACTAAAATTTTCAATTAAATTAAATTTTCAAAAATTTGAACTTTATATTTCAAATTTTTCAAAATTTAGATACCTAATTTTTTTTATATTGAACTGGAATTGTCTACTTTTCATTTTTCTAATCACAATAATTAGAAAGAGGAAAATTAAGTAATTATTGTGATTAGAAAAATGAAAATTAAAAAAAAATTTAATTTTACAAATATTTAAACTATTTAAATAATTACTATGTGTGCCTACGATAAAATTTCCCTTTCACTTGAAATAGAATGCAGTTTTTTTTTTTTTTTGGTACTAAAATAATTTAACAACAGGCGTTAATTTAAAAAAGTGGAGTAAAATGAAAGTGAATTTTAAATTTTGTGCTTTGTGAAGAATTTAAAGAATAGTGAAGTGAAAAAAGAAAAAAAAAGCTAAGAAAATGATTTTTTAATAAAAATTTTTCTTTCAGTCATGAAGTTCGCCGTCATTTTTCTTGCCGTTTTGGTGGCTGCAGTTTCGGCAGCTCCACAATACACGACGAAATTCGATAATATCGATATAGATCAAATTTTGAATAATAACCGATTGTTAAACAATTACGTTAATTGTCTTTTACACGATGGCACCTGCACTGCTGATGGAAAGGAACTTAAAGGTACTCTAATAATTTAATTTTAGTGCAATTAATTTAATTTTTATTAATTTGTCTAAATTAATTTTTTGTTTAAATTTAATTTTTTTTCTAAATGAAAATTTGACTTTTATTTAATTGTATTTTTAAAAAAAAATTTTCTATATACAGACTTAGCACTCGATAATTAATTTTTAAAAAATAGCAAAAAGTATCTTTCAAACTAAAAAAAAAGTAGTAAAAAAGTAGCTGTCGAAAAATTAAACTTGACGACCAAAAAAACACGTTTTAGAAACTTCACAAAAATGACAAAAATTCCATTCCTTTTTTTATTTTCATGACTTTTTCCTAACTTTCATTAAAAATATTTACTTTTTTCTTATCCTGTTAAAAAATTGAGTTCCTGCAACGAATTTTATTATTCATGAAACAATTTAAATATTTATAAAAATAATTTAATTCTTGCGAAGAATTTTATAAAAATTTTTAAATAATTCATTTCTTTCGACAAATTTTATGCAAATTCTAATTTAAATAATTGAATTCCTAAAAAATATTTTAATTTTTTTTAAAATAATTGAATTCTTACGAACGATTTTATTAGAATTTTTATAAATAATTGAATTACCAAGAAAAAATTTATTACTTAAAAAAAAATTAAAATTAAATTAAAATTAAAACAATTGAATTCCTGCGATGAATATTGTTATTTATAAAAATAATTGAATTTTGCAAAGAATTTTATTACAAATGCCTCAAAAGAATTGAATTCTCGGGAATAATTTTGTTATTTATGTAAATAATTGAATTCTTGGTAAAAATTTTATCAAAATCTAAAAGAATAATTGAATTATTTTAAAAAATTTAATTAAAATTGTGTTTAAAATAATTGATTTATTTCGAAAAATTTTATTAAAATATTTGAAAATAAATGAATTCTCGTGAAAAAATCTAATATTTTTGTAAATAATTGAATTCTTCCAAAGAATTTTAAAAAAACATTTTTTTAAATAATTAATTTTTTCGAGGAACTGAAATTAAATTTTTAAGAATAAACACATTTTTTGAGCAATTCCTGTAAAATTGTATTAAAAATAATTAAAATCCAGCGATGAATTTTATTATTTATGAAAATAATTGAATAGTTGCAAAGAATTTTATTAAAATTTTCAAAAATAATTGAATTCTTGTAATGAATTTTATTATTTATAAAAATAATTGAATAATTGCGAAAAATTTTATTGAAATGTTTAAAAAGAATTGAATTTCTGTAAAAAATTTCGTTATTTTTGAAAATAATTGAATTTTTCTGAAGAATGTCATAAACATTGTTTTGAATAATTAATTTTTTCGAAATATAATAAATATTATGAAAATTTTATTTTAAATAATTGAATTCTTGTGGAAAACTTTATTTGTGAAAATAATTGAATTTTTCGTTTAATTAATTTAAAATAGTATTAAAAATAATTGAAATTCTTCGATGAGTTTTATTATTTATGAAAATAATTGAATTTTTGCTTAGAATTCTATCAAAAAATTTTTTAAAAAATTGAATTTCCATGAAAAATATTATTAGTGAAAATAATTGAATTATTGAGAAGAATTGTATACAAATTTTGAATTGATTTGTTTGAAAATTATATTCTAAATTAATTGAATTCTTGTGGAAATTTTATTATTTACGAAAATAATTTAATTTTGGATGAGTTTTATAAATTTTTTTTTAAATAATTGAATTTAAAGTATGTAGTGTAAATTCTCAAAAATAACAGAAATAGTAGCTTTTAGTGGCTGAAGTTTAAAAAAAGTACCCAAATAGTAGCATAACGTAAAAAAAGTAGTAACTAGTAGGTTTTAGTAGATGAGTGCGAAGCCTGATATAACATTTAATTTTAATTAATTGAATCTCAAGTCCAAATTTAAAATCTCAATTTTTATTATAAAAAATGTTTTAAATTCTTTTCTTAATGGACTAAATTAATATGTAATAATTAAATTTTAATTTTATTTCACATTAATAATTAATTTAATTAATAAAAAACAAATTTTCATACAGAAAAAAATCGTTATTTAAATTAATTAAATATAACAGATGTAATTAAAAATTAAATAATTAAATTGAGTTGCAATAAAAAAATTTACGCAAAAATATTGAAATATTCTCAACAATATTGTTCAACATATAAATGATTATTATAAACGATAAAGAAATTTCATAAGAAACATTTTAAAAGCGTAATTTTTTAAATTTCGTTAATTATGCAAATTTTTCATAATCAAAACAGTTTTGCAATTATATTATTAATTCAACATTTATCTATTGTATATAAAAAATTTAAATTCATTTAATATGCAAAATAGTTTCTTACGAAAGAAATTGACATTTGGTAAAACATAATATTACAATCTGCCAATAAATTATATAGTAATTTGTTTCTTTCGTAAAAAAAAGACAAAACTATCGTAAAACTTTGTTAGTATTCATTTACAATTTTAGCATTATTACTATGTTTATAAAAATTTTTTCATTATTTTAAAGACATTTTCCTCGAATATGATTAATGCATATGTACACACAAGCGACGAATATTTTGCAAAATCATTATTAGAAATATTTGAATAGAAGTTTTCTAACATTTTTTTGTGAAAAAAATTTTCTTTTTTACAAAAACAAGTTTTGTTTATATAATGCTAAATTACAAATACGAAAGTAAAAAAAAATGTGAATTATAAACGTGTCGACAGTATCCAACTTTTTTTTCTCTCAACATTAATGGTGTTTTTTGTTACAACTACTCTCGAGTGTCAATAAAGGAATATGCGAAAAATTAATTTTCCAAGTTTTCTGTAAGAATTTATAAAAAAAAAACAAGAGATAAATTTATTAATTTGCTTCTAATTTTTTTTTTTTTTTGTTAAGAAATGAATATTAGTAATTACGAGATTACCATTGATAATGGCTACTAATTAATGTAATGTTAATTAATGTTAATCAATGTTAATTAATTAATTAATGTTTTTACTATGCTTCAATTTTGATAATTACCAGTAGTAAATTTTTTTTAGCCGTTCTTCCTGACGCAATAGCAAGTGAATGCTCTAAATGCTCTCCAAAACAAAAGGAGGGCTCTGAGAAAGTGATCAAATTTTTGTCAAAGAACAAACCTGAAGTATGGAAGGAAATTTTGGAGAAATACGATAAAGACGGACAATACAGGGCGAAATATGGCGATAAGGCTAAAGAATTGGGAATCTCCACTTAAATTATAATTATTTGAATAATTAGATTTAAGTAAAAGAGAAGACAATATTATTATTTTTCCTGAGTCTAAAAAATCTCAACAACCTCTATTACCTCCATGTGTTTAAACCAACAAAAATTTCTATTTATTTCTTTCCTTTTGTATATTTCTGCTATGTACATCTTATTTATATTTCTATGAAGAGTATACATATATGTCACAGATAATTTAATAAAATTCTAATTCAATTATTTGTTTAAAAAAAAATTTCTTTTTTGTCACGTTTGTGTTCACAAAATTTTGCATGTTGTATTCGTAACGTTTAATACCTTAATAAGTACAGACTTTGCACTCGATAATTAATTTTAAAAGAAGAAGGAAAAAGTACCATTCAAACTAAAAAAAAGTAGTAAATATATAATAAATTGAATTCCTGCAACGAATTTTATTATTCATGAAAGAATTTTAATATATATTTATAAAAATAATTATATAATTTAATTAATTTATTTATTTATTTAATTAATTATATAATTAAATATAAAAATAATTTAAATTTTATAAAATTTTTTAAATAATTGATTTCTTTCGACTAATTTTATGCAAATTCTAATTTAAATAATTGAATTCCTGAGAAATTTTTATTATTCATGAAAAAAATTGAATTTTTACGAAAATCTTTACAATAAATTTTTAAATAATTGAATTCTGTTTGGAAATTTTATGAAAATAGTAGATATTAAAATATTCATTGAATTGCGAAAAGTGTTTAAAAATAATTAAATTTCACAAAGAATTCTATAAAAATTTTTGAGAATAATTGAATTCCTAAAACGCATTTTATTATTTATGAAAATAATTGAATTCTTTCGAACGATTTTATTAGAATTTTTTAAAATAATTGAATTTCCAAGAAGAAATTTATTACTTTTATAAATAATTGAATTCTTGTGCTGAATATTATTATTTATGAAAATAATTAAATTCTTGTGAGGAATATTGTTATTTATGAAAATAATTAAATTTTGCAAATAATTTTATTAAACTGCCTCAAAATAATTGAATTATTTCGAAGAATTATTTATGTAAATAATTGATTGTGAAGAATTTGATTAAAATCTAAAAGAATAATTGAATTATTTCGACGAATTTTAATCAAATTTTCAAGAATAATTACATTTTTCGAGAAATTCAATTAAAATTGTATTAAAAATAATTGAAATCCTGCGATGAATTTTATTATTTATGAAAATAATTGAATTGATTGAATTTTTTAAAAATATTTATGTAGAATTTTTATTATTTATGAAAATAATTAAAAGTTTGTGCAGAATTTTATCAAAATTTTTTTTTAAATAATGGAATGCTTGTTGAAAATTTTATTAATATATATTAAAAATCGCTGAATTCAGGAAAATTTTTGATAGAGAATTTAATTATTTATTATAAAGATAATTGAATTTATTCCAAGAAGTTTAATAAAATTTTTTAAAATAATTGAATTACTGTGAAGACTGAAGAACATTAGGAAAAGTTTAGAAAATAATTGAATTCCTTTCAAAAAAGTTGTTATTTTTTAAAAGAATTAGATTTTTGAGAAGAATTCTGTTCTTTATGGAAAGATAATTGAATTCTTTCTAAGAACTTTATTTGAAAGTTTTGAAAATAATTGAATATATGCGAAGAAAATTAAGAAAAGTTTAGAAAATAATTGAATTTCTGCAAAGAATTTTATGTAAATTTTAATAATAATTGAATTCCTGCTAAAAATTTTGTTATTTTTGAAAATAATTGAATTTTAGGAAAGAATTTTCTGATATTTTTGCAAATAATTGAATTCCTGCTAAAAAGTTTGTTATTTTTAAAAATAATTGAATTTTTCTGAAGAATTCTGTTATTTATAAAAAGATAATTGAATTCTTGACATGAATTTATTGTATTATATTTTTTAATAATAATTGAATATCTGCTTAGAAAATAATTGAATTTCTGCTAATAATTGTATGCAATTTTTGAAAATAATTGAATTCCTGCAAAAAATTTTGTTATTTTTGAAAATAATTGAATTTTTGCTAAGAATTTTATGAAATTTTGCAAATAATTGAATATGAAAAGATAATTTAATTCTTGACATGAATTTATTGTATTATATTTTTTTTAATAATAATTGAATTTCTGCTAAGAATTTTATGTAATTTTTGAAAATAATTGAATTCCTGCTGAAAATTTTGATATTTCTGAAAACAATTGAATTTTTGGGTAGAATTTTATGACATTTTTGCAAATAATTGAATACCTGCTAAAAAGTTTGTTATTTTTTAAAATAATTGAATTTTTGGGAAGAATTCTGTTATTTATGAAAAGATAATTGAATTCTTGACATGAATTTATTGTATTATATTTTTTTTAATAATAATTGAATTTCTGCTAAGAATTTTATGTAAATTTTGCAAATAATTGAATACCTGCAAAAAATTTTGTTATTTTTTAAAATAATTGATTTTTGTATGAATTTGATTAATTTTTTTTTTTTAAATAATTGAATTTAAAGTAGTATAAATTCTAAAAATTCTAAAAAATTCGAAGTCTATTATTTTTGATTACTAATATATTATTTTATTACCTGATTGTAAGTAATATTGTGTTTATTCAATCAATATATATACGAAATTATCAAGGTTACTTATATAATTTTAAGAAACAGCTCTATTAATAAGTACATCATAATTTTTAAAAATTTTACAATTATAGTAAAGCTGGTAAATTTTGTAGTAGCTTATAAGTTATTCATCATTCTGACAACACTTAGTTCCGTATCTTACAAATGATCATGAGTGTTGCATTCCGTTTGGATAGAAGTTTTAGATCTGCCTTTGTTATTTATGCAACCAACGACAATATTATGTTTGTTTCCAGGTCGAAGATCTTTAATCGTAACAGATGGTACAAAATCAGATGAAACGTAATTCCTAGTAACTTCAGAAGAAGAATCCCCTTCGATGTAAGATTTTATATAGTACCTCACATTTTTAAAATTATACCCAGGTTTATTCCACTGGATCCTACAAGTTGTGTTTGTCGTTTCTAGTACTTTCAATGTACCTTCTGGTCCTAGAGGACTCACTAAAAATCAACAAATTTTTTTGTGAAGAAATAGAAACTGAAAACTAAATCAACAATAGATTTTAATAGAAACTCATACCTAACGAAGCGTCAGTTTTATAATCTTCCTCGCTAGTTATTCCCTTGAAACATCCTCTCTCATTACACACCATAATATAAACATGATAGAAACCATCTTCTATTTCCAGATTTTCAATATTTGCATATTCGTCCGTGCAATTCAAGAACACTTTCTTTGTCCATCGATCAGGTAACCTAATTTTCTTCAAACTAATTAAATACCAAATCTCACACGATTTATTATTATTATTATTATTAGTACTGTTGTGCAACTTGACAGTGGCTACTCTGTCCGAAAATGAAATATCAAAGTCAGATATTTTCGGCGCAGCAGGTTTGACTATAAATTAAAATACGAGAGTTAAGAGTTAACTTTAGCGAATTAGAAAGTTTACCAAGATAAATAATGTCACACTCATATACATTTGTAAAGTTCAGCTAAGCATTCGTCCTTGGCAAGATTTATATCAAAATATGTTTCGTCTCCAATGATAGTACAATCAATTGTGTACGATTCACCAGGATAAATAGTAAAATCATAATAGTATGCTCTATTCTGCAAAGATTCAAAGAAAATCGATCACTTACTATACGACAAAGCTACGGAAAATTTACTATTATTGACAATATTGTATTTTTCTCTTACAATGTTTAAAAAACTATTTGGTCCTATTGTGTACACGACTTCACATGATAAATCCGTGACATTGATAACTTTAATGTTAGGTTTAAGTACTTGTTCTGTAAATTAAAATGCGCAAAAAATTGAAAACATTAATTTTCTTTAATAAAGCCTAGCAGTTTCTTAATTGATTAATAATGTTCCTGTATGATACGCACCTACTTTCAAGTCTTTACTCACCAATGAATTTGAACGTTCTGTTAAAATACGAACTTAAATTTTAATATCGTAGCTCTGTTATAATAAAATAACAATAACAATATTAATATTTTAACCCCACAAGTGCCTCAAATCTTTAATGGCAAATATTTTGTCCGTCAAATTTTTGCCATGACACTTTAGCAGGCTTCGCACTCATCTACCAAAACCTACTATTTACAACTTTTTTTACGTTATGCTACTATTTGGGTACTTTTCTTTAACTTTCAGCCACTAAAAGCTACTATTTTTGTTTTTATAAATTGTGAATTAAATTATTTTTGATGACCCAGATATTAATTTGGAATTTTTCTAGTAATAGTTTAGAACCAGTAAAAAGTTTTGCGACTAACAATTGTTAGCAAACAGAAGATAAAGTTCCCTTTAAAATTAATTTTTCATCTCCTGCTGATTATCGGCTGTGGTTACTTTTTATGAATTGTGAATTAAATTAATTTTGATGACGCAGATATTAATTGGAATTGTTCTAGCAATAGTTTGGGATCAGTAAAAAGTTTTGCGACTAACAATTGTTAGTAGAAAGAAAATAAAGTTCGCTCAAAAAATAATTTATCATCTTCTGCTGATTATCGGCTGTGGTTACTTTTTATGAATTGTGAATTAAATTAATTTTGATGACTCATAAAATACCTTTGCTTTTATCAACAATTCGGAATTTATATGCAGTACTTGGAGTAACATCATAAAGTGTTACAATTGCACTACCGATAATGTGAGTAACATCAGCCTTATTTTTATGTTCGTAATAACTAAACGTGGAAGCATTTCTATTCTCTACAACGAAATAATAATTACTTGCTGAGTATTCAGCTCTTTTTGAAGGAACCACTAATAGAACTCTGGTTCCTGTTGCTTCAGCCACCCAATAAGCATTCACATAATCCAGTGTCATATGACCTACAATAAAAACTTGCAATAAAAATAGTTTCACTAATCAAAGTCGAATTCCAGTTTTCCAAAGTATAATCATAATTTTCAATTAGAAATTTTCCAATTAGAAATTAAATTTTTCAATTATAGAATTTTCCATACCCGAGGAAATGTCATTTCTGTATTTCTCGCTCATCATTGGATCAGAGCATCCATGTTCGTTACAAGCTTTAATTTCAACTTTATAAATATTTCCTCTCGTGAGATTTCGAACATTTATGAATTCATCCTTACATGTTAGGTTCCTAACCTCTTCACTTTTAATATTTTCCGTAGTGTCTAAAATTCCGATTGTGTACCAAATATCGCAGTTTAGGTATTCGGTAATAATACGCAATTTTATCGTGCCTATTATATCCGCGAATGAAATATAAAATATATTTTCATTCGGTTTATCAGGTTTGTCTATAAATTAAGATGTAACGATTACAAAGAGTTTAAATGCAATTTAATAAGTTTTACAGAACCCGGCTCCTACCTACCATTGGTACTTAAAGATGAGCCTATAAACGTTGCAGACAGTGTAAAAAATAGTAAAAATTTCATTGTATGCCACTTGAAATTAAACTTAAACTTTAGGAAAATGTAGATGTCGATTCAAATTACGTGGATATATATATACTTAAAATTATGTTTGTTTAAGATCTATTTCAGTCGTTAACAAACATTGCTAAACTATTACAAGTGGTTTTTGTTTATAATGTATAAAATTAAAAAGATAAGCAAAATGATAACAAAAGAACGTCAGTCAAATGTCAAACCGAAATATTAAAAATAAAAAATGTGTAAATAGTTTTAGATATAGTTTAATTTGAACTGCAAATTACAATTTAACATTGTAAAAAAAATGGACGAACTAAATTGGATTGGCAAAGGAATTGAATATTTGAGTAAAAGAACGTCGGAGATTTATTTTACAAAATTTCCAACCTTGTATCATTTATGCTACGATCCAATTGGAACACACAAGAAGAGTCGTACCTTCTTTGGATTTCTACTGGGCTTTTTTATGGGATTTTCTTTCTACGAATTCGTCATTGTTGACTTTCAATTCGATCAGATAACAAGTCTAATTTTTGGTGCTCTTATCATAACCATGCTCTCTTTTGGATTCGCTATTTCAATTCAGGTTTATTTTTAATCTTCGTTTTTTTTAATTCTAATCATATTTTTAAAATTCTTTACCATTTGTCAATTTTATAATAATTAAAAGTATAAATTTACCAAAACAACAAAAGTGAGAAAAAAAACACCTAAATAGGCGAGATGCATTGGCTTATTGACAATTCCGGCATTTTTCGGTCGCTCCGGTCGAAGTGTACTGAAAGCCCTAGTTTTCGGTTACGTAATCGCAGGTCCAATTTTTAATTTAACTTTAAATGGAAAAGAAGTTGTCAGAACATTTTCGTGTACAAATCAACTCACTCAAAATATGTCCAAAACTAGATACAATCTTATGATCCAACCATTTAAGCAAGTGAGACTTATTTTCAAATTTTTCTTTACAAATATAAATAAATATAAAAAATATATAATAATTATTAAAAATAGTTAATTAATAATTACTAGTAATTGATTTTTCGAATTAATAAATAAAAATTAGGCTCTAATGAGTATGAAAACAAACGCCGAGGAGATAAAGGACACATTGTCATCGGTAAAAGATTTGATAAGTCCGATTGTCGAGGAGATCGAGGGTCAAGAGGAAATGCAACGACTTCAGGAGGAAAACGATTATTTAGATGAATTGCAAAATGATACAAAGAGAAGCGAGGAAATTGAACAAAAACGATTGAAGGCACAATTGAACGCCAAATCGGAGGGCGAAATTTATGAGGCGAATTACAAGGCTAAAATTGAAACTCGTTGTGAGGATCAACTGAGTCATGGCACTGAAAATTGTCGGTACAGAAATATTTAAAAAATTTTTACTTAAAATTCAAGAACATAAAATTACTACACTTACGAACAGATTTTTTTTGAGAAAACGTCCGTAAGTCCGTAATATGTTATCTTATTTGACTTGACCTGATTATATTTTTGTCGGTAATTTTTAATTTTTGGTCGTACTTTTAAATACTTTCACTGGTTCGAGCCATGTTTAGAGAAACAAATTTTTTTCGAACCCTATTCGTTGCAGAAAAATGTTTGCCAACGCCTATGATAAATGCTACATTAAAGTATCTCCAGTCGCAGCTTGGCTACTTTGTTGGCCGATGAAATTGACATTTATCTGCAACATTGTCCAAGCACTCGGCGGACCCAACATTTGCAATCCAGAAGGAAATGTCGATTCCGGAATTGGCGAAGGATACGCTCAATTAAAAGGTACCACCTAAAATAATCAAATAATCAAATCATCTCATTAGAAACAATACAGAACTACGAAAATCAATTTTCTCTATTAATTCAGAAACAAAAAAAGTATTTGGCGAGAATATGAGAAAAGCAACTCTTCAGTACCAAGTGAAGAAACCGCGAATGCCAATTGATGTACATGATGCAAAAGATACGGCGAAGGCAATATTACACGAATTCGATTCAAAGAAAAAAATGTTCGATACCATAACAACGTTAATTAAACGTTGTCTGGCACTTGTTTTCTTGAAAATAATACTCGGCGCTCAAAGATATCATGATGAATACTTAACTAAAATAGAACACGATAATTTTTACATAACGTCGTATTTCCGAAAAATTGACGCTCGTCGTAAAGCACGAGGCAGTTCGACCCTTTTGCCATTACGTAAATGTGAGAGACAAAAATTTGTCGATCCTTACAAAATCAAACAGAGTAAATTCGAAAGAAAGAGTCTCGTTGGTCAGACGGCGAAATTAATTTTAGAAATCGCCACCGTCACCACCTTTGTCCTCCTCGATATTCTCTTTTACGAAACTTTGGACATCATCAAAAGACACTTTCATTTGGAATTTTCTCAGGTCAGGACGTTTCTTATCTGTGCTTAACTATTATCTAATTTAATTTTGAGATTTAATTCTTCAGAATTTAAAATTCAGGGTTGCCACGCTTTTGCACATTTCAAATTCCCTGACTTTTCCAGTTTTTTAAAACTATATTTGTTGACAAAAAAATTTAATTTTGTTTTTCCCTGACTTTCCCTTTAATTTTAGACATCTTACTTTTCCTTGACTTAAAGAATATTTTCATTCACTTTAAAAATTATTACTCAGGAAAATGTTCTGTTGCTTCTTTTTTAAATATAAATATTTATAATCATTATTATTTTTTCCATAAAAATTAAGATTTTCAAAACATTCAAACTTAAACCTTTTGTGAAAATTAAACAATTTTTAAAAAATTGTTATAAAACATGAAGAAATCAATCACTCCGAGTCTTCGACTCGGAGCAATCGATGTCTTCATGTTTTATAATAATTAAAAATGATCGAGAGATAAAATCATTATTTTATACTAAGAATTACAAAACAACAATTTTACTTCCTTAGAGATTTTTATATGGTGATGAGATGAAACCATTTTTTAATTTTAAGTTAAAATTTTCTTAAAAACTATTGCTATAACTATTGTTAGAATAATTCCAATTAATATCTGGGTCATCAAAATTTATTTAATTCACAATTCATAAAAAGTAACCACAGCCGACAATCAGCAGATGATGAAAAATTAATTTTAAAGGGAACTTAATATTCTGTTTAATAACAGTTGTTATACTCAAACAATTGTTTACTGGCTCCAAACTATTGTTAGAATAATTCCAATTAATATCTGGGCCATCAAAATTAATTTAATTCACAATTCATAAAAAATAACCACAGCCGATAATCAGCAGAAGATGAAAAATTATTTTTTGTAGCTTTTTTCAAGATTAGTTAAATTCCCTGACATTTCCAGGTTTCCAGGTTGGGTGGCAACCCTGCAAACTTAATTTTAACATTTAATTCTTCAGAATTTAAAATCTAAAATTAAAACATTAAAATTCTTTTAGAAAGGTCATCACGACATGTCAATAGAAGTCCGAGGATCAGGACTAATAGCTTCCTTAGTACGAAGTGTAATTCGCGGTTTTAATATCAAAAAGCGAATAAATACAGTTGTGAGTAATGAAGAATGTCTCCCAAGAGCTAGAAAACTTCCCGGCTACATTATATTCAAGATCTATGGCACCTATTTTGCAATTTGGCTCATGCTCCTAGCTACTGCTTACACCCAAAGAATGAGACGTGTCATATGCTCATTCTTCTATCGTAAAAGAGAAAAGCGTCGTGTCCTCTATTTATACAACGAATCGACCCGCAAACGTTTCGGATACCTTCGATTTATGAAGGCAAAAGTAAAAAATCTCGTGAGGACACGAAATCTCGAGAAGGACATTGATCTTTGGTTGGGCTTGAGAAAGAGATATCCAAAAATTTTCGGATGGCTACAATTTTTCGCCTGTGCAAGGGAAAAGTGTCTAGTTTGCGAGGAAACTGAACCAAGAAAGGAGCCAAAATTTCGTAAATGTGATACACCAGGATGTCCATTTTTACACTGTCAGGAGTGTTGGAGAGACGTGGGGGAAATTTGTTTAGCTTGTGCCGATCCTTACGAAAGTGGTTCCAATTCCGAGGAAACGGACAATGAAGATGATGACGATGATGAAGATGACGAATTTTAAACACTTCGAACTTTAATTCTTTTTCAATTGTACCAAAAAATTCAAACATAAAAACATCCGAGTCTTTAGTAATGTTATAATATTATTAATTAACTTTTAATCGGAGTTGGTGAAACCGTCTCTTAATTTTTAAAAATTTCCTCTCACCTCAATCTGCTCGACTTGGAAAAACAGCAAAAATTCAATTTCCGTTCATTACAAAATCCCTCTTATCTAAGACTCACTATTAAAGTCCATATAATCGAGGACAAATACATTCTTCAGAATCTAATCAACTTCCTACCGTTTTTTTTTTCATAATGATTCCAAAAATTATAGAAAATCGTTCATGTGCTTCATTTTCCATGCACGAGAGCACAAAGAAGTGACTCTAATTTACCATAAATCGCGTGCAAAGGATAATTCGTTTATTTGTTTGACTTTGATAGTTTGCTCGTGGCCTCTAATCGACGGGGGGAAAGGGAATATTTTATGCAGAGACTTATAAAGAACATTCAACGCTCGAGATGTTGCAGTTTCTTTTTTGATAAAATAAAATAGAAGTACTATCACAAGTTTGAAACAAAATGAGAGGCACCGCTTTTCTGTTTTTCTTTTCCCTAGTTGTTTTTGTCAACGCTGAGGAAGAAAAGTATACGACAAAATATGACGATTTGGATGTCGATGAGGTCATTAAAAGTGACAGACTCGTTAGTAACTACGTTGGATGTCTTCTTGATAAAAATTCTTGTACTCCTGATGCTACTGAACTTAAAAGTGAGATTTTATTTTTCTCTTTAATTATTTGCACCTCTCTCTCTCTCAATTATTCAGTTGTAACCCGAAAAAGGTCCATTTTCTAAAGAAACTATTAAATTCTTTTCAAAATTCTAAAAAAGTACATGAGCTTCAATTTAAAAAAGAAAGTTTCAATTCAATTCTTCCAAATCCTCTTTTATTAATTTTACATCAGCTTTGTTCTATTATAAACATTTAAAAATTGCAATTAAAATTTTTCTTGTTTAGAAAATCTTCCGGATGCATTAGCAACAGATTGTGCGAGTTGCAGTGAAGCGCAAAAAATCGGTTCGGACAAATTTTGTGAATTTTTGATTGATAATCGAAAAGAAGATTGGGAGAAATTGGAAGCAAAGTATGATCCAACAGGAGCCTATAGAGCAAAGTATATGGCAAGAAAGGAAAATGAAAAATCGAAGAAAAAGTAAATTCATTTTTTCTATACACAAGAGAACATATTGTAACTATTTTGATTTTCTTTCTTTTCTATTATTACCATTACGATACTAATATACTATTCTGTATTGCTATTATGTACCCTTCTTATTGCTACTTGAACTATATTTTACAAAAATAATAAAATTTTTTTGAAGCGCATATTATCTTCTATTTATTTTATATATTCTTTTTTTTAATATTCTATTATACCAATACCCACATAATTTTAAATTGCGGAATCCAAGGTATCTGTATGCAGATTTTCCAAAAGTCCCTACATGTAAATAAAAGGTTTTTTTTAACTTCTGTAAGTAAAATACTTGTTTCAATAAAATTTGCATGTTGTATTCGTAACGTTTAACACCTTTATAAGTGTATTTTATTTTAACATTTAAGTAGTATTTAAAACCATCCGCCATTCAGCAGACAATCAAAATTTATTGAAGGCAGTAATTAAAAATTTATTTCTTCTAACTTTTACTATTTTTCTCATGGAGTTCTGTCAGGTTTACATAGCTATTTTTATCTATCAGCTCTTAAATTTTCACCTTATTACTGTTTATTAATATTTTATATCAACTTATTTCAGTTAACAAATAAAATTCGTTCTTTACAACAATGACCAAAATTGCGTTTGGAATTTAATAATTTCATAGTCCACTATATTCATAAAGGTTCATTAAAAGAACAAGGCACCTTCCTTTTCGGTATATGTCAGCACTAACAAGACAGTTTTGTCCCCTCTGAACAAAACAGTATCATTAAAAATAATTCCCTTTCTATGTCAAAATTGTCAGACTATTTTTATTCCATTGTATCTCAATACAAAGGTAAATAAAAATAATCTTTCGTTAAAAACTAATCGCATAAATACATTCACCAGTCATCGTTTGGGATTAGTTACCAAAAAAGAAGAGTTACCAAAAAAAGAAATACAATCAGGAAATCAGATTGATTTCGTACTTCGAAAGTCATACACCATGATTTTAAGAATATACATTTTTTCCCTCATTTTTTCGAGTGGAATTCTACAAGTGTCTTTAAAACCCAACCACTTTGATGGACTGCTAAAGTATCTAAAAGAAGAATCAAAATTGCATCAGGTTGTGTTCATCTTAGATTCAAAAAATACGGACCCAATAATAAATTCACTTGTGACAACAGTAAATTCGCAATTTCCATCTTTGAGCATCAACTACAGTGAACTTAATTCTAAACGAATGGTGGAAACCCACCTAAAATCCCTCAATCGTCCTAGAAGAACAACACTTTTCGTTTTACAGTTGATAAATAACAACACACTACTTTCATTTGATAAATTTTTGACAAACAATAATTTACTCCAAGGATCATCAAAGCCAAGATGTTTAATTCTAAATTCCATTCTATCACGAGAGAAAATCAACGGAATTTTACATTCTTTCTGGTTGAATAACTATTTGGACACAACTCTACTCACATACGATAATACCACCGAAGTGAAAATCAAGAAAAGTGATGGAAAATTATTTTTGAATCGATTGAATCCTTTTAGGGGGAAATATTCGAAGCAAGCACTGTCATCTGAAACCATTTGGTTTCCAAATAAACTGCTCAATCTAAATGGACACAAATTAAATTTCTCCTGTGAACCAGCTACAGATACAAAACCAATTGAATGGGAAAAATCAAAAAAATTTGCAAACATTTTATCAACCGCAATGAATTTTGAACCTGTTGTAATACCATCAAATATGTATAACTTTGAAAATATTTCTGCAAATAATGAAACTAAAATTGATGATTACTTTGATAAGAAATTTCTTGAAATAGCTCCGCAAATTTGGCTCAGTGCATTATCATTTTATGACGATATTTTAATGGAACGGAGAAATATACGTATTTTAAAAATTGACGGTACCTCGGCTATTGTTCCAAAATTGGCAAATAACAATGATCTTCAAGTTTCGTCACAATTTTGGTGCATGATTTTAGTGACAATTGGTACAATTCTCATTATTTGTTTCATTGCATTTTGTATGAAATTCGACAAATCCAAATGGAAAATATTAAATTTGATTCAAATTATAATGGGAATGTCGACAAATGAAGAACCTGATAATTTCAAAGAAAGAATGGTTTTTGGCTCACTATTAATTACATGCATTCTCTATACAAGTTATTTTTATTCTGTTATTCTTGACATTAATTATGGACAATCATCTGAAATTTCAACTCTCGCAGAAGTTGTTGATTTAAATTTAATACCAATTATAGATCAACGTTTATATCATTTATTGTCCAACAGTCCAATAAATGATATTAAAAAATTAGTAGCGAAAACTCCTGAATGGAAACCTTTTGATACACTGGAGTGCTTAAAGAATTTATCTATTCATCAAAATATAACATGTATTTTTCATAATCCCAAATTAAATGTTAATGAGTATGAAAAGAAAAATGGCAAAATTAATGGTAAAATATTACAAGAAACTTTTGCACTTGCTTTTACTTCTTTTATGTCTGAACCAAATTCGCCATACATTGATCGTTTCAATGAAATAATTTTGAGAGCAACGGAATTTGGATTACTTAAAAGTTTTTATGATTCAGACATACGCACATATAATGATCCACCGGAAATAGAATTAATTGAGAAAGAAAAACTTTTTCTTGTTCTATTTTATGTGGCAGTCATTGGATATTCTCTCTCGATGATAGTATTTTTGATTGAAATTATCATAGCGAAGTACGGCAGGAGAAATTTGTTTAAAAGAAGATCGAGATTTATTACAATTTCAAAGATGAAAAAATTGCGACAAAAAATAATTCATTATAGGTAAGAAAATTTAATTTTACTTTTACACTAAAAGGTTCCCCTTAAAATTTCAACTTTCAAGTGAATGAAATTTTCTAAAATATTCATAATTTCTTATTAGGGAGTGACATTTTTCTTTATTATTCACTTCGATTCTGATTCTAAATTTTTTCTCTTTTAATTAAAATAAATGCTTAAAATTTTTTTTTCAGATAAAATGATCAATGAAATGCAGAACACATCGGTTGTTGATGTAAAGGATTTTAGATTTCTCAATTTCGCTAAAACCTGGCCTTAATATTGAAAATTGTAACCTCAATGTGAATTAATGTATAATAAAATATACTGTTGAATTTTTTTAATCAGTGTATCAAGAAATAATTAATATGAATAAAAAAGAAATATTTATGTCATAAATTTTACTTTAATTCAAATAAAATTTTTTTAAATTCACTTCGGAAGAATTTAATTATTTTTATAAATAGTAAACTCTTTGCAAAAATTCAATTATTTTCAATAAAATTGCAAGAAAGAATTGATTTCAATTTTTTCTTGATTCGTTATAAAATTTTACAAGAATTCAATTATTTTCTAAAATTTTAATAAATTCTTCGAAACAATAAGTCAAATATTTTTATAAATAGTAAAATTCTTTGCAAAAATTCAATTATTTTTAATAAAATTTCATAAAAGAATTCAATTTTTAAAAAAATAAATTTTCATATTTTTCAAAACAATTTAATTTTTTTTTAATTAAAAAAAAAAAATTTTTCGAAAGAATCAAATTATTTTCTTAAATTTTAATAAATTCTTTCGAAATAAGCGAATTATATTTTTAGAGCAGTAAAATTCATCGCAAGAATTAAATTATTATTTATATTATAAAAAATAATTTAATTCTTAATTATTTAAAATAATAAAATTCTTCTGAGAAATTCAATTATTTTCAATACAATTTTAATAAACTTCAATAATCAAATATTTAATTATAATTATTAACAGACACAATAATTTTAAAAAAATTCATTGTTTAATTTAATTATTTTCAATTAAATTATTCAAAAAAAATACATTATTTTAAAAAAAAACTTAAAGAAATTCTTGAAAAGAATTTAATTATTTATTAAAACTCTTGTAAAATTGAAGAGTTTAATTTTCTATCAATAATTTTAATAATATTTTGATAGGAAAATTATTAATTACAATTATTAACAAAATTGATTAAATTAAAAGTATAAATTAAAGAAATTTTTTGAAAGAATTCAATTATTGTCAAAATCTTTAGTAGTATCTATTCTTCGAACGAATTTAATTACTTTCTATATTTTAATAAAATTTCTTGAATGAATTTAATTATTTAAAAAAATTGTGATAAATTTCTGAGAAGAATTTAGTTATTTTCTAAAAACTTGAATAAAATTCAATATTTATTAAATGTTCAACTTTAATTATTAAAAAAACATGATTATTTTAAAAACTTGAAAGAAATTGTTCATAAAACTCAATATTACTTTCAAAATTTTCAATTAAAATTATTAAAGAAATTCCATTATTTAAAAAAAAAATTCAAAGAAAGTCTTCAAAAAAAATTTAATTAGAATTTTCGAAAATTTTAATAAATTGCTTAGCAAGAATTCAATTGTTTTTTATAAATAATAAAGTTCTTCGAAGGAATTCAAGTATTTTCAAATTTTTTAATAAAATTCTTTGCAAGAATTCAATGATTTTCAATAAGTTAATTTTAATACTGAAAATATTTTAGAAGAAAAATTATTAAAAAGTTAGAAAATATTAAAGAAACTGATATATTATTAAAATATTTCAGTTTTTATTTTTTTTTTAACTTTAAAAAATCTTCTAAAATCACGAATTTTCTAATTAGAGTGTTGAAGTCAACACTTCTTATATAAATAAATTTTTTTAAATTTTTAAATATTTTAAATATAGTAGAATCCAATGTTTGTCTTTTTATGTATTTTACAATTTTTTGATATTAAAATACTAATTTAATTTGCCTTTTGTTAAAATTGTTTTTTTAATTATTTTGTGATAAAAAAATGTCTATTTTATAACAAAAAAATAATTTTTATATTATATTAATGATTAATAATGACATTGATAAATAATAAAAAAGAGAAATAAATAAAAAAATATATATCTTTACAATTTTATCAAAACATTTAAATAATAATAATTAGAATAATTAATGGTTGAAGCTAATAATTAGAATAAATAAATGTAAAAATATTTCACAATAAGTACATAAAGGAAAAATAAATTTACAAATTTTTGTGAAATTTCGGCTAAAACATGTAAAATCGAATAAACAATAATAAACGATAAGTAACAAATGAATAATTTTCAGAAACGAAATAATTAAATTTAATATTTCGGTAAATTGAATATATTCATTTTCAAAGACAAGTTTCCCGAAATATTGCAATTTGTTATTTTGAAACAAATTCACAAATTTTTATAAATATAATTTGATCGGAAATATTTAGTATTTCCGGAAAAAAAGAGGGGGGGGGGGGCAAAAATTAACTAATTCAATTCGAAAAAACTTGTTTTTTTCCCTAAATTTACGCCTTTGGGACGTAATTACTTTTTTGGAAGAAAAAAAATTTAACGTTTTGGTCTTCGAAGCAACATAATCTCAACAAAAGGTGAGAAATATATTGTATCTTCATAAATACGAATATAATAATCACCTACTTCACATTATTACACGATTCATTATTATTTGCTCGATTTTTCAGACATTTCTCGTCAATAATGCAATAGAGCCCGTATATAAAAAAGTAATCACAATTTATAATAATAAAAGTAATAAAATAATAATCAAACCTCATTTCATTGCACGATGCATAAAAAATTTGCAGATTTCATAAATAATTTCGTGGATTTCGACATTTCGTGCCAGTAAATACAATATTTTGCATATTATTTCTTGATTGACAAAACATAACCTCAAAAATATATAAAATTTTCTTTCAACTATTTTGTAAATTTTACACTACTACTGACAATACTTTTACATTCACACTAATCAGAAACTATTTAATAAAACGATTAAAGAGTATTTATTAAAAAAAACTGTATGATTATTGCGATAAAACTGGATTTTAACGGAGAAAGAAAGCTCAGAGGATGCGACACCATTGTAATGAAAATGGCGGATGCGCATGCGCAGTGAGATAAACAGCAAGTAGAAAAAAGTTTCTAGGTTGGCAGCTCTGCTCTTATCTCATTGGTCAAAAGATAGCACGCGCGTTTATTTAAAATAATTTCTTTCTTCAAAAAATTTAAATAACAATCTTCTAAGTATTTTTTCTCATTGTAATTAATCTAAAAGTGAATTAAATCAAACGTGAGTCGTAACATATTTTAACAGGGGAAATTTATAATTAAAAATAATATCGATTTAATGTAAAATTTTGTTCGAATATTATTATTATTAAAAATTCAAACGAATTAATGACAGTAAATAAAATAATGGTAAAATTAAAATTACGGTAAATTAAATAATTAAAATAATTCAGTAATATTTAATAAATTCAAAATTCGGTAGTGCTCTTTAATATCGATAAAATTTTATCATTACTTACGTAATATACGTAACAATTGAGAGTTTCCTCTCTATCAATTTTTTTATTAGCCGTGTAGGCGCTAGTATCGCATGTATAATCAGCTGATAATTGATCCATTAATAATTGTTTACTTATTTTTCAATTCTTGCCCCTTATTATATGATTCTTTAAAAAATTTGTGAATTAATGTTAAGAACATTTGTAAATTCATGAATTGGAAACTGCAGGAAATTATATAATTTTCCCCAAAAAGAAACTTAGAAAGAGAAATAGAAATAAAATGGAAATCGAAGATTCATTAGAAAACAATGATGGCTTGCAAGTTGTACGGGAATTACAGGTATTTACAAACAAAATTATAAATTTTTGGTTAAATTAAGTAGAAAAATTATAAAATTGAAAATCAATAGTGATTGTTTATTATTTTTATTATTGTGACATATTTTTACGATATTAATAGAAGTTTGACAATATTTTTAATTGACAATTATTCTTTTCGTTTCATTGAATCTATAGAAAAATGATTCGTTAAAATTGATACTAATTGGTAGCAATTGATGGTTCTTTGCTCTCTCTACAATTACTAACAAGTGTTACAAATAAAACCAGTGAAATTCTAATTTATTACTTTTATTCTAATTTATTGTAAATAATTTTTTTTGCCATATTTACCGGGTGTTCAAAAAGTAAATAAACAGTTAAATTTACAAAAAATTTTACAATTTTAGCAAAAAAAAAATCGAGTTCAATACAATTTTAATTAATTTTTTCGAAAATTTCAATTTTTCTTAAAAATCTTGTAAAAATTCTCCGAGAAAATTCAATTATTTAAAAAAATAATTGAATTTTTCACAGGAGTTCAATTATTTAAAAAACTTTTAATAAAATCCAATTCAAGAATTCAATTATTTTTAAAAATAATTAAATTTTCGCTGGAATTCAATTATTTTAAATACAATTTTAATTGAATTGCAGAGAAAATTAATTTTTTTTAAATTCATCGAAAGAATTCAATAATAACAATAAATAGTAAATTTTTCACAGGAATTCAATTATTTTAAATTCAATTTTCATAAAATTCTTCTCAAAAGTTCACTATTATTTTTTAAAGTTTTGCAAAAATTCAATTATTTGTAGAAATAATGAAAAAATTTGAAAATTCAATTGAATTCATTTCAAGAAGTTTATCAACATTTTTTTCAATAATTGAATTCTTTCGAAAAAATTTATAATTAAAATTGTATTGAAAATAATTTAATTCTTGTCAAAATTTTTTATTAAAATTCTTTAAAATAATTCAATTGTTTTGAAGAATTTATTTCCATTTTTTTATTTAAATAAAGGAGTTTTTTAAAATAATTTTTACTGAAAATTTTGAAAATAATTGAATTTAAATAATATTTTAAAAAAATTGTATTTAGAGAAATTGTAATTAGAGAAATTTTTATTGAAATTGTATTGAAAATAATTGAATTCCACGAAACATTTTATTTATTTATTCGAAAATAATTGAATTTAATAAAATTATTTTTCTAGGCCTCAATTGTTCGTTTTATCGAGCAAAGTCTTGAAGTTTATGCGACAAAAAAATTGTCAATCGGCAAAATTGAGCCGTTTAATGAAAAAATGGAAACGTGGACAAATTATATTGAAAGATTTGAATTATATTGCGAGGCAAACGATGTGCCAGCGCAAAAAAAATCAGTTATGCTATTAACGGCAATGGGCTCTAAATTGTATAATAAATTTCGTGATATTTGCCTACCTGAGAAGCCACGACATTATGGTTTTGAAAAAATTGTACAAATGATTGGACAACATTTAGAGCCAAAATCGTCGACAATTTACATGGAACGTTTAAAATTTGGCAATTGTCGACAGGAGGAGAATGAATTATTAAGGGATTATATTGAAAAATTAAAACAATTGGCATTGAAATGTGATTACAGTGGTGAGGATATTATGTCGAGATTACGTGATCAATTTTTACTTGGATTAAAATCGGAGAGAATTCGAAATCGGCTATTAATCGAGAAACATTTGACTTGGAATAAGTCTGTGAAAATTGCGGCAGTTATGAATGATGAATTTATTAACGATGGTAAATTTTTTTTTATTTTTATCGATAAAAATTCAATTTTTTTGAGGAAATAATTAAAATTGTATTAAAAAATTGAATTCTTCTCTTAAATTTTGTTAAAAATTTTTAAAAGAATTGAAGTCTCTTGAAAAAATTTTTTAAATTTGTATTGAAAATAATTAAATTTCTGAGAAAAATAACTCCGAAAAATTATATTTATTTATAAAAATAATTGAATTCTTGCGACGAATTTTATGAAAATTTTCGAAAATAATTGAATTCTTTCAAAGAATTTTATTAAAGTTTCATGAAGAAAATTTAAATTCTTTTGAGGAATTTAATTAAATTTGTATTGAAAGTAATTAAATTCCTGCAAAGAATTATATTATTTATAAAACTAATTGAATTCTTGGCAAGAATTTTGTTTATTTAAGAAAAAATAATTGAATTCATGCGAAGAATTTTAATATTTTTGTATATAATTCGATTCTTTTTACAAATTCTATTAGTAATATAATTAATAATAATAATATAATTAACACTATTAATAATATAAAAATTGATAATTTTAAAATTACCTTTGAAATTGCAGACGATGTTTTAAAAATGCAGCTAGTTTCAAAACCTGTGGAAAATCAAACGGTAAATAGTTGTTTTTTTAAATAAATCGACGCGTTTATTTTTATTAAATAAAAATTAATTTTTGATTTTTTTTGCCTATTTTAGGAAAATTTCAAAGGTAGAAGTGAATCTACTGAAATTAGAGGCGATCAGAAGGAAACTCGCAGATCCGGAAGAATTACAAAAAGACACGAGGCTGAAGATTATGCTTATGAAAATTTAACAGCTAAACGACAGAAAATTAATAACGTCAGTCTTTAAATTTATTTTGCTTAAAATTAAAAAGAATTTTATTCTCTTATTTCTTGATGTTGAATTTTGAAAATTTTTTCTACTATTAATATTTTTTTACTATTATTAAGAGTGTTTTTATTTTTATTAATTTTACTGTTTTATTTTTATTTTTAATAGTTTCAGTTTTTTATTTTCAATTTTACTATTTTTTTAGATACTTTTTATTTTTAATAGTTTTACTTTTTCTTTTTTTAACAGTCTTATTATATTTTGAATAGTTATTTATTTTATTTTTTTAATTTAATTTTATTTTAAATAATTTTTCATTTTATTAAAATTTTTAAAATAGTTTAAAAAAATACTTCCCAATTAGTTTTTTTTTTAATTTCTCCTTGAATTTCAGGAAAGAAAGGAAACAAGCGAGGACGAAACGGAAATGCACAATTTAAAATTAGAAAATAAAAAATTACGATTGGAACTCGAGGAAACAAATAGAATGCAAAAGGAATTAACAGTTCTCAATCGGGACTTACAAAGTCGACTCGTCAATGATTATGAAGAGTTACGAAGTAATAATTATTAATTATTAATTTTTATATTTTCATTTACTCACAAAAATTTTAAATATAAAAATATGTACATACCTTTTTTTACTGCATTATTTTTTTTAATTTTCTTCAAACAATTTATAATATTTTCTAATTATTATTCAAATAGCTTTTATTAACTTTCTAAAAAAGTTTTCTAATATTTCAGCGTCACTTGCAAATGTTTGCGCCACAGATGTAAATCATCAACAATTAACTGATGTATTTTTACCAATTGGTTACGTGCGAAGACTCGACAAAAACGTAATTTTTTTATAACTTCATTTTTTAAAAGATGTAGAATTATTTTTTTTAAATGAATTAAATAAAATTTCAAAGTAGAAATGGAATAAAAATAGGAATAGAAATGGTATAAAAATAAAAATGGTATAAAAATAGATATTGAATAAAAATAAAAGTAGATTAAAAATAGAAATGAAAAAAAATAGAAATGGAATAAAAATAGAATTTTATTAAAAAAATTGTTTCAATTCTAGGTGCATTTGGGACGTGATGTTTGGATACCAAAATCAACTTACGACACAGTGATGTGTACGGCAAGAAATCCAAGTATTTTTATTAAAAATATGGCCCTCGCAGTATTTGGACATGAAACATTGGAGAGAAGTTCAGTTACCGGACAATTATCGAACAGGACAAGAAAATTCTACGAGGGACCACCAAAACAAAAACTCGATCCCACAAAATTACTGGCGATAAAGGGTACTAAAAAATTGTTCATTTTCCAAAAGAAGAAGAAAAATTTCTATTTCTTTTTTGTACAATTTAAAATTTTTTTTTCTTTTGCAGACGTTTTTCGATATTGGCTGCAAGAAATTAAAAAAGTTGACGAGTGCACGACTGACATTGAATTAAGAAAAGTTGGTTCTTACATTGGACACAAAATTGCCGATTTAAATCGCAGAAAGAAAGACACTGGTAATAATTTAATAATATTTTTTTAATTATAGAAAATTTATTATTAATGAATTATTAATGAAAAATATTTGTTTATTTTGTGTTTAACGAAGTGGAAAATTATTATTTTTTATAGAAGAAACACAAAGATCGTCGGAGGATTTTAATCGAACAGGGGAAGAATTTCAACGTGCCGAACAATATCAACGAACACCGGAAATTTATCATCAAAATAATTATCAACGTGATACACAAAGTGCCCCGAGATCGACGACATTGGTTTACGATAGAAATTCCGAGAATTATGATATGTTAATGGTAAATGTAAAAAGTGAGACAAACGAGGCAAATGAAGAAACATTGAATTGTGCGAGTGAAGCTGTTTTTATAACAGAAGAAGATAAACAATCAAATGTTAATGGACTATCAGTTGATGATGTTAATGACGATGTCAATAATGTTGAGGACGATTCGTTTATTTCTTATTTATAATTTTTCTTTCTTTAAAAAAGAAAAAAAAGAAGAAAATTTCGTAAAAAAAAGAAATGATTCCAAAATTTATCTTTTTTTAAAAAAAAAACAATTTTTGACATTGGAATAATATTTTTTTTACGGAACAATCTGTAAGTATTATATGATTTGTTTATTATGGTATAGATATATTTTTTTACCTCTTTAGAAGAAATTGTTTTTATTTTTTCTTGACGTTACCGAAAATTATATTTTGTTTTTTTTTTTTTTTTTATTTTTCATTGGATGTAATATTATTATATTAATTTTTTTTTCTATATATTATTCCAAAATGTCGATTAAAAGAATGGAATGATTTCTAAGTGATAATATTTCCTTAATGTAAAGAGACAAGGAGAGAGAGAGAAAAAAGGAAAATAAAACGGAGACTTTTTTGTAAACTTTGAATAATTTATTGATTTAATTATTCAGTTTTCAAATATTCTAATTAGGTTCTTTCATAATTAGATTACTTTTTTATCTTTTGCTATTTTTTTGTCTACTATTACTACTTTATTTATTTCTTCATTAATTAACATATTTTTATTTGATTATTTAATTTTAATTATTTGTTTATTATTATTAGCAGCTTTTTCCCCTGAAGGATTTTTGAAAATAATTTGATTATTTCGAGGAAATTTAAAATTCTTTTCAGGAATTTAGTTAAAATACTATAATTGAAAATAATTGAATTCTTATAAAGAAATGGAAAAAAAAATTTTTGAAAATAATTAAATTCTAACGACGAATTTTTATTATTTTATAAAAATAATTTTATTCTTGCAAAAAAATTTACTAAATTTGTTGAAAATTGAATCGTTTTAAAAAATGTTATTAATTATTTTAGAAAATAATAAATAATAATTAATTAGTTAATAAAAACTAATTTTTTTAAATTTTTAAATCTGAATTCATTCAAAAATTCAAAGTTGATATTTAAAAATAAAAAAATTGTAAATAATAGAAATTAAAAAATAAAAAAAAAATTATAACAACAATCAATAAAGTAAATAAGACAATCACGTAGATCCCCTATTTATCTTGAATATAGTAAGTACAATTTACTACATTCGGTATAAATTTTGTTTTGAAAAAGTATATTCTCGTGATTTTCATAAAGAAAAAGTAAAGAAATCTATTTCTTTTTTCATTAAAAAATATAATTTATCAAATTTTTTTCACCTCTTTAATAGATTTAAATTTTTACTAAAAAATAATATTTCCTTAATTTTTTTCCATTTTTTTCTTTCTTAGCAATTTGAATTTTTAGGTTACGAATAACATGTGCGTCTTTTAGTTTATTTAAAAAAAATTATAAAATTATATTGCAGTAAGTGAGAAGAAAAAAAAAAGTGTTTAGAATTTTTGTTTTACTTTTTCTTTTCAAAAAAGGAAAATTAATGTTTAATTATTAAAATAAATGTGTTGTATTTTTATTTGTTTCTTTGTTAACTATTATTTGTTTTTTGGAGCACAAATTTTCGCAAAAAAGACACGAGCGTAATGTATATATAATTCATGATGTCATAATTTGTTAATACTTCCGAAGTGGATTTCAGTGAATTTTTATTGTCTCATTTTTTTTTTTTGTTTAGCAAAAATTATAAATTATAGAATAAACATTTTATTTATCTCATTTTTTATATTCGTTTCATCGAATTTTCAAGAAGAAAAATTGTCTCCTGTTTCTTATAAAGTAATTAGCAATTAATTTCTTTATTAACACTTATTTCCAAACAATAGCAAAGTATAAATAAAAATAATGATAATAATAATATTAATATTTTTACACCTTTTTAAAATATTCGTTTGTTGCTATAATTATTATTAACTTTTCTTTATTCTTTTTCTATAATTATTTTTCATTTTTATTTTATTATTATTATTATTATTTCTATTATTATTTGCTATTATTATAAATGTTATTATTATTTATTTATTTACTTTCAAAGGGCTTATGGAACGAAAAACTTCCTTTTATTGTTATTAATAACATTATGTTTTTTATTATATTAAAAATTTCCAATCGTTGAAATTTAAATTTTTCGAAATATTAAAATATTACTTTTTTTCTTTTGCAGTTTATAATTTTCTAAAATGGCAGAAGATGAGAAGGAAAAGGAAATGGTGAAAATAGCGGAGGAAAGTTCCCTGGTGAGTTATATATATAAAAATAATTGTCTTTTTTTCTAAATTTAAAAAAAAATTTTTTTTTAATAATTCTTATTAATTCTTTTTGAATAAAGTGTGGAGATGCTGAAAGATCTGACAAAGAAACCATGGAACCACGTTTTGAATGTCCAATTTGCATAAGTTGGCTCAAGGATCCTGTTCTTACTTCCTGCGGTCATAGATTTTGCTCCGATTGCATCAACACATGGCTCAAGTATTTAAATAATTGAAAAAAAAATATAATTCATTTTTTTAGTTGGAATATTTAATTAAAAATCAAGATTAAATCTCACATGACTCTAGGATTTAAATCGCTACTAAAAAGTAATTTATTTCCTTAGCGAAAATTAAGAAAAATAGGAGCAAATCGCGGTTCGAGAATTTAAATTAAAATACTTTTTAAAGTCAAATTTAAGAAAATAATGATTAAATTCTAAAGAAAAGAGAAAAAAAGGGAGAATTTTAGTAAAAGAAGAAAAAAGCGAAGTTTTATTTTTAAAAAAAGCAAAAAGAGGTTTTTATTTAAAAAATTATTTAATAAAAATAAAAGGAGAATTTTAGTAAAAGAAGAAAAAAGCGAAGTTTTATTTAAAAAAAAAAGCAAAAAGAGGTTTTTATTTAAAAAAATAATTTAATGATAATAAATTTTTCTTTCCTTTGCAGAAAACGAGGTTCGAGTTGTCCAGTCGATAGTAAACCTTTAAATCCAGAAGTCGATTTATTTAAGGATCTTTTTACAAAAAGAGAAATTGCTCAACAGAGAACGCACTGTCTTTATCGGGAATATGGTTGTCAAATTGAAATTTCACCGATTGATTTGGAAAATCATTTAAATGAATGTTCATATAAAAAACATGCCATTGAATCGCAGCAAAATTGTCCATTCAAGGACATTGGATGTAGGGAAATATTTAAATCCACCGATACATTGAAACATCATTTAGAAGATGGAATGAACTCCCACATGACGGTAGAATTTTCTTTTTCAATCTAATATTTAATTTAATTGAATATTTATTTTAATTTAGCATTTTTTTTGAAAATTTATTTTAATTTCGTTTCCTATTTTTGTTTAATATAATTAATGTAATTTTTGAATCATACTTTTCAGATGATTGCCAATTCTTTGTCTCATTTGACACTGAAATCGAACATTGACGCAAAAGCTGCCGAAGCAAAATCATGGGATCCTCCATCAAAAGAAGAAATTCAAGCTCAAAGTGAATCTCAACCTTTAATACAGTGAGTCAATTATTTTCATACAAAAACTTCCAAGACTCAAAAATAGAATTTATTTTTTATATAGAATTTTATTATTTATATAAAAAAAATTGAATTATTTTGAAGATTTTTATTAAAAATTTACGAAAATAATTGAATTTTTGCGAAGAATTTTATTACTCATCGAAATAATTGAATTCTTGTGAAGAATTTTATTAAAATATTTAAAAATGGGAATTTAATTGCTTTCAATACAATTTAAAAAAAAATGTATTAGAATTCAATTATTTTTAAAATCATTAATAAAATTAATAAAATAAAATTAATAAAATTCCTTAAAAGAATTAAATTATTTTCAAAAATTTGAATATAATTTGAAAAAAATTCTTTAGAAGCATTTAATTATGTATTTTGAAAATAATTTTAATTAAATTCCTCGAAAGAATTTTAATTTTCTGCGAAACATTCAAATTATTTTCAAAAATTCTAATAAAATTGAATCTATTTGAAGAATCTTATTAATTGCAAAATTTAATTTTTTTAAATAATATTAATAAAATTTATGTCAAAATTTCAATTATTTTCAAAAAAATTTTCGTAATTCATTGATTTTTAATATTCTACTATTTTAATCAAATTTCCCAAAAGAATTGAATTATTTAAAAAAAAAAATTTAGTAAAATTCTACACAAACTTTCCATTATTTTCCACAAAAATAAAAATTTCGCAGGAATTTAATTATTTAAAATAAAATTTGCATTAAAATTAATTCAATTCCTCTACAGAATTTTATAATTTACAAAAACAATTCAATTCTTGCTGCGAATTGTATTACAATTTTTTAAAAATAATTCAATTCTTTCTAGAAATATTATTAAAATTGTGTTAAAAAATAATTAAATTTCTATTTTGAAAAATTTTAATAAAACGTTTCGCAAAAATTCAATTACTTTCTACAATTCTTAAAAATTTACGTCAAAATTTCAATTGTCTTTATAAATAATACAATTCTTCTCCTTCTTCAATTATTATTGACAAATTTTTTATAAGATTCAATTATTTTCATAAATAATAAAATAATTTTTAGGAATTTAAGTTTTTTCATGAATATTAAAACTCATTGCAGTATTTCAATTATTTTTAATGCAATTTTAATCGAATTCCTCGAACAATGTATTTATTTGTAAAAATTTTATTAAAATTCGTCGAAAGAATTCAATTATTAAAAAATTTGTTGACAAAATTCTTTATTAGAATTGAATTTTAAGAAAAATTCAATTATTCAATAATTTTTTTTCCATATTTAAATAATTAAATTCTCGTAGAATTGTCTAATCAAAATTAATTTAAAAACGAATTAAAAATGAAAACATGAAAAAAAAAATGAAAAAATGAAAATGCCTCATAATATATTAAAAATATTTTAATAATAATTATTAATAAATTAAAAATGTTTACAGTGAACTCTGCGAGAAAGTAGTGATGTTGGAGCAAAAAAATCGTGAATTAACATTTGCCCTGGAAAATTCACAATCATCAATAATTGAGCGCACATGCAATGGCTCATACATATGGAAATTGGAATCATTTAATCAAAAATTAAATAATATGGCGTCAAATCGTATGAATATGTTTTTTAGTCCATCATTTTATACAAGTCCAATGGGCTATAAAGTTTGTGCTCGCATTAATGTTTCGCACAATAATTCCGATTTTCTTTCACTTGTATTACATCTTGTTAAATCGGAAAATGACGATACACTCGATTGGCCATTTGAGGGTTGGATTTCATTTTTACTAATCAATCCTGATGATACGAGGAAAAATATTTTAGAAACAGCAAGAACACAATCAAATCTTGAGGCATTCAAAAAACCCGTTTACAATATTAATCGACGTAGTTATGGCTTCACGGAATTTATTCTCATCAAATATTTAGAGACATTTGTTAAAAATGACACACTAATTATAAGAATTGATGTGAAAACATTGACTCGATTGGAGAAGGAAATTAGCGGCGATTCAATGATTAGTGAAGAGACATTGCAAATTCATACCGAAGTTTAATTTTTTTTTTTGTGAATTTTTTTTGTGAAATTATTATTTTTTAATTGTAAATATTCTCAGGGAATTAATTTTTTCTGTCATTCCCTTTTTTTTACGTCTTGAGATTATTTTCTTCGAGAGATTAAATAAAATTGTAATTTTAATTGATTCTAAATTTCTAGTTGTTTAAAAAAAATTGTTCAACGAAATTACATAATTTTTTTTTGTGGCTAAAAATCACTGAAAATTTTCTTTTTCCACTTCGGAATGTTCTTTTCGTTTATGAAGGTAAATATTATTTTTTTTATTCAAAAAAAAGAAAGTTTTAATTTTCTTCTTTGATTTCAGTTATTTCGCAATGATTGGACTTGAAATTGAAGAAATTAATTTTATTAAAATTTTCTTTACTGCTGTTATTATTTATCTTGGAGTTACAATTGGATTTCTTTCATTTGGACAAAATTTGTTAACCAATTTTTTGAGACAAACTGTTTGCTATGGAAAACTTGTTGACAATGCATCGAATTTATTTATCAGTCGACTGGAAGTTCCAAAGCGGTGAGTTTTTACATTGTTTATAAGGAAAAAAATTTTTTTTTCTTAAAAAATTGAATTTTTCATTAAAAACGAATTTTGTATGAAATGAACAATTTTTCATTTTAAAAAATATTCTTTTCATAAAAAAAACAGTTTTGCTTTCACAAAAAAATATTTTTTTCATTTAAAAGACATTTTTTGATTAAACAACACATTTTTTTTTATAAATAAGAATGATTATAAGTAAATAATTGAATTTGAATAATAAATAATTGAAATAATTGAAAATAAATTGAAATAATTTTCTAAAAGAAATGAAAGAATGAAAGAAAATTGTTTTTTTCAGATGGTTTCGACATTTCTACATTTTTGCGGCTCCACTTTCCATGTTTGCATTATATTTAGTGACAAACAAATATTTTTACAATAAAGAGATTCCGAACTATATTTTTGACATTTTGGATCTCTCTTTAGGAAAACAGAGAGAAACATCAGGTAAATTATTACATTTAACTAAAAATAAAATAAATAATAATTCACAAAAAATTTCAATTATTTTCTCAAATCTTTAATAAATTCTTGGAAGCAATCCAATTATTTTTTAAATAGTAAAATCTTTGCAAAAATTCAATTATTTTCAATTAATTTTCACGAAAGAAATTCTCTGCTTTCAGTGCCTCCTGCAAATACTATTTTTGCACTTATTCTTCTCACCGGTCATTTAACAAAAAGATTGTACGAGACTCAAAGTGTTAATGTATTCAGCGATGCAAAAATTAATATTGCACATTATCTTATCACTTTTTTGCATTATTCCAGTTTAATGATTATTATTCTCGGCGAATCGGAGGGAATCGTAAAAGGTATCGAAACAGTGAATCATTAAAATTTTTTTAAGAAAAAAAATTTTTAATTTTAAAAAGAGATTTTTTTAATTTAAAAAATAATTTATATTAATTTTCATTCTTAAAAAGTTATTCGAAAATTTTTTATTAAATTTTTTTTGGCAATTATTATTTATTAATAAAAATATTTTTTCAGATTCTGAGGTGAATTGGGAAAATTCACTGCAGTTAAAAGATTGGTTTGCTGGATTAATTTTTATTCTAATGACTTACGAACAATTGAAAACGAATCAAATTCTTTCGAATTTAAGAAAAAATGAAAATGGCATTGTCGTGACGAAAGAATACAAAATTCCCCAAGGAAGACTCTTCAATTATATTTCATCGCCATTGCAATTGACTGAAATCGCCGTTTATGGAGCATTGCAAATTATATTAAGCGACAGTTCATCGTATTTGTTTATTTATTTATGGATCGTTGAAAATCAGGTGAGAAAAAAATGCAAATTTAATTTTTTCTTTTTAATTAAAAGTTTTATAAGATATTTTAATTAACATTCGTTTCAATTAAATTGACTATAAATTAATAAATTGACAATTAATTGAATAAATAATTAAATAATAAATATAAAAGAATATTTCTATTTTAATATAATTTACGAGTTTCAAAAGTTTTTAATTAAATTTAAAAGTTCAAAAGTCAATAATAATAAAATAAATTGTTTCTCAATAGTTAAATAATTAATAATCGATTTTTGAAGTTTTAATTTAATTAATTGATTAATAAAATAAAAAAATTGAAAATAGAAAAATAATAAAAAATTATTAATGAATAATTTTCTTACAGTTTCTGTGCGCCTTTCTCTCTCACCAATGGAACAAAAAGAACTTTAAAAATTATCCCCAATCGAGAAAAATAATTATTCCATTTTTATTATAATGATTATAATTTAATGAAAACTTTTTCTATAAATAAAAAAAAATGAAAGACAATTTTTAAATAATTTTTTTATTCAGAGAAAGTTGATCTCCAAATTTTGAGGGAAAAATCACAAGTACAATAAATTCTCAACAGAAAAAAACGACAAATTAAATCGTAAAAAACCAAAATCAAAATAAAATGTTATAATTTATAAGTATAACTAACGAAGAAAAATAGAACCAATTTTTTACACTAAGCAAAAAAAAATACATTTCAATTTTTTCTAAAAAAAATTACTATATATTCATAGTAAAAATTAACATAATATAAAAATAATTTAAACTAAAAAAATTTTTTTTCTAATTTATTTAAATTAAATGCGTCGCAATCGCTCATACGAGTAATAAAAAAAAAAGCGGAGAGTGTGCTAAAGAAAATTTTAGTTGAAATATTTTTCAAGTCATACGGTAAATTCACAAATCACAGAAATGAATTTTGTGAAAATTATTTTAAGTACTTTGTCCATTTACATTGGAATTAATGGAATAATTATTTATTTTTTTGACAATTATTTACCGAATGTTATTAAACAAACATTCAGCTATGGAAAATGTAATATTAATATGCGAAGTCAATTCATTTCCAAGCTCGAATTACCGAAAAAGTGAGTATTATTATTGTCGTTAATATTTTGAATTTATTTTTAAGTTTAATTTTAAAACAAAAAAATAAATAAATAAAGAAATCTTTATTTAGAAGAATTTATTTTTTTGTTTTGGAAAAAGTTTCTTTAGAAAAAATTACCTTTTTTTGGTAAAGAAAATTCTTTACTTAAATGTAAAATTTATTTCTTTATTTAAAATGTTTGTTAACTTTATTATAAATTATTATGAACTAAGAAATTATTATAATGAACTGTTCTTTTTTCCAGATGTTTTCGACATTTTTATATTTTCACCGCTCCAATTGCTATTTATTCATTAATTACATTAATCTACAAGTATTTTTATAATGAAAATATTCCGGAAATTGTTTATCTTATTTTGGATTTTCTAATGGGACACAAAAGAAAACCTTTGGGTAGGTTTATTAATTTTAGTTTATTTTATTTTTTCTTTTTTAATTAATATTCAATTATTTTTTTTCTATTTTTGGAGATAATTTTTTTTTTATTAAAATATTTTCTCATATGATAATAAATTAAAAATATTTTATGTAATTATTATTATTATTATTAATATTATTATTATCATACATTATTATTACTATTTTCTATTATTATAATAAATTATTATTTATTATTTTCTATTATTACAATAATTAAATTATTAAAATTTTAATTTTTTTCAGTTTCAATGCCGCAGACGATTCTTGCGATGTTTTTGGTAACAACACATCTTATAAGAAGAATTTTTGAAACCATAAAAATAAATATCTTTAGCGATGTGAAAATAAATATTTTTCACTATCTCGTCGCATATTTTCACTATGTAAGTTTCGTCGCTGCCATTTTAGGAGAATCGGAAGGATTAGTCAGAGGTAATATTTTCTTTTATTTTATTTTCTTCTCTAATCAATAAAGAAGGAATCATTTTTTTTTATTTCTAGCAAAAATTCCTTCATTTAGAAAAATTTCTTTCTTTCTTTAGAGCAAATTTTTTTTTTATTCAGAAAAATTTATTTCTAATCAAATAAATGAGAATAAACTAATTTTTTTCAATTTTTGAATATAATTTTATTTATAAAATGTAGAAAAATTCAAATTTAATAAAATTCTTCAAAACAATTCAATTATTTTCAAATACAATTTTAATTAAATTCGTTCAAAAATTCAACTATTTATATAATAAAATTCTTGACAGGAAATAAATTATTTTCAATATAATTTTAATAAAAAAATTTCTCGAAAGAAGTCAATGATAAAAATTTAATTATTTTCACAATAAAATTTCCATAAAATTCTTTAAAACAAATTATTTTCAAAACTTTTAATAAAATTCAAAGTAAAAATTAAATGATGTAAGATTTAAAATTATAAAAAGTTACAAAAAGTAACATAAAAATTAATACAAAATAATGAAAAATGAATTAATTTATAAATTAAATAATTGAACTTTTAAGGAACTTTCTCAAAAAATATTGAAAATAATTGAATTAGAGAAAAATTTTAGTCAAAATATCTAGAAAATAATTGAATTAAAATATTCAAAATAATTTAATTAGAGAAGAACTTTAGTCAAAATATCTAGAAAATAATTGAATTGAAATATTGAAAATAATTGAATTAGAGAAGAATTTTAGTCAAAATATCTAGAAAATAATTGAATTGAAATCTTGAAAACAATTTAAGTATATATTTGTATATAATAATAATTATTAAAATCGAGAAAATATTTACAGGATTCGAAAAAATGTCACGCGATTCATTGAAAACAAAAGATTGGATTGCGGCATTAATTTTCCTCTGGATGAGTTATCAACAATTACAAACGAATATAATATTGGCGAATTTACGAAAAAATAAGGATGGCGTTGTTGTGACGAAGGAGCACAAAATACCTCGAGGTGGACTTTTCGATTATATTTCTGCACCTTTACAATTCACCGAAATTGGAATGTACATGGCTGTGCAATTAATTATTTGCGAGAATAAAACTTATTTTATTCTTTGTATTTGGGTCGTCATAAATCAGGTAAACAAAATTTTCTAATTAACACAACTAATAATTACAATCTTCTTCTTTTTCTTCTATTTTAAAAATCATTGTATTCCAGTAATCTGTTGTTTTTGTTTTCTATAATTTTTCTTTTTAACGTTTTGAATTTTAAAATTAATGAAATCCTTGAAGATTAAAAAGTATCAAAAATTAATTAAACCAAATTGTTTTTAATTAAAAATAATTTTTTTATATTATTAATTTTTTTTTCATTATGAATCTGTAAATAATTGAAATCTTGTAAAGAAATTTATCGACATCTTTTGAAATACATAATTAAATTTCTTGTGAAAAATTTAATTAAAATCCTTAAAAATAAGTTAATTTTTTCTCATAAAGAATTTTATTGAATGTTTTTAAAAAATTGAAAATAATTGTAGTTCTGCAAAGAATTTTTAATAAAATTTTCGGAAATAATTTAGTTTTCTAGAGGAATTTAATTAAAATTGTTATAAAAATATTTCATTTCTCCTAAAGAATTTAATCGAAAATTTTCATAATAATTGAATTTTTACGTAGAATTTCATCATTTAAGAAAGGAATTAAATTTATTCAAAGTATTTAATTAAATTCTTTTCTTATAAAGAATTTCATTAAAATGTTTCAAAATAATAACATTTTTGCGAAGAATTTTATTAAAATTCTTTAAAATAAGTAAATTCCAGCGAAAAATTTTATAAATTCAATTATTTATTTTTAATAATTCAATTCTCATAAATAATTTTATGGGAAATTTTCAAATTTATTGAATTTCTGCGAAGAATTGTATTAAAATACTTTAAAATAATTAACTTCCTGCGAAAAATTTTATAAATTCTAAAAATAATTGGAATTTTACTAAGAATTTTATTAAAATTGCAATTCAAAATGTTTCAATTCTCATAAAGATTTTAAACAAAATTTTTCAAAATAATTGAATTTTTGCCAAGAGTTTTAAAAAATTTCTAAAAATAATTGAATTCTTTTTAGAAATTTTATTGAAAATAATTGAATTCCTTAGAAGAATTTTATTGAAAATAATTGAATTCCTTAGAAGTATTTTATCAAAAGTTTTGGAAACACTTGAAATTTCTTTAAAATTGTATTAAAAATAATTGAATTCTCCCAAAAGAATTTTATTAATTATGAAAATGATTAAATTTTTTTTTGAAGAATTTCTTTGTATTTCTTTTTTTATTTTTTTGATAACAATGGAATTATTCTTTTAATAATTTTAACTGGAAATTTTGAAACCAATTGAATTCTATAAAAAAAATTCTGTCAAGTTTTTAAAATTATGGTTTTTGTTATTAATATTGTAATTAAAAATTTGATTATCGAATTTTATCGAAATTTTTAGAAAATAATTGAATACTTCCAGAATTTTATTACAATTTTTTTTTTTTTATTGAATTCTTTCGAAGAATTTTATAAAAAATTTACTACAAATAATTGAATTCATGCGAAGAAAATGGAATAATAATTGAATTTTTAAAAACATTTTTTTATCATAACTTTTGAGAATAGAATAAAATTCTTTAGAAAAATTTTATTACTATTTAAAAAAAATTAAATCCTTTAGAGAAATTTTATTAAAATTGTATTGAAAATAATTGAATTCGTCAGAAGAAATTTAAAATTATTTATCTAACTAATTGAATTCTTCCGAAGAATTTTATTATTTATGAAAATAAGAATTGAATTTTGTCGAAGAATTTTTATTAGAATTTTTGAAAATAATAAACAATAATAATTACTAATGTACTTAATAAGTGAATTTTTCAAAAATTTTGAATCGCAAATTCTCCTATTAAAAATTAGGAAATATTGAGAAAAATAAAAAAAAATATTTTTAAATTCAAATTAATAAGTTAGTATTTGGAAAAGTATTTTTTTAAATTGATAATTAAGTAATTAATGATTCGTATTATAATAAGAAATAATTAAAATAGTTAAAATAATAAGAAAAAATAATAATAAATTTAATTTTTAATATTTAATTTAATAATAATTTAATTGATTCAAATATGAAAATTAATATTTGATTCTTTTCTTTTACAGTTTATATCTGGCCTTCTTTCGCATAAATGGCATAAAAACACATTCAAAGATTATCCACCATCTCGTAAAATTATTATTCCCTATTTATTATAATACTACGAATATTTTAATTATTGATGACCTAAAATTATTCACAAAAAAAATTGTTTTCGTTATCCTGTAATAAATATTTCTTTTAATTGAAGTGTTTTATTGCTATTAGAATTTAATTTCAAAATATTGTTTTCAATTAATTGTAATTTTGAATTTTGATTCCGTATTGAAACGATTTTCTTTCAATTCTAATTTTGAATTTATTTCTTTGTTTATTAGAATAAATCCAATAGAGTGAGAAAAATTAATTTTAATGAATTTTTTGAATTTATTTTAATTTATTTTTCAAAGTAAAATTTAAATTGAAAAATTTTTAAACATTTTAAATTTTATACAAAAAAATTCTTATAAAAATTTGTTTTTTATTTTATTTAATTCAAAAAATAGATTCTTTCAAAAATTTTATTTATCGTATTTTGAAAAATATTTACACTCTCCTTAAATACGTAAACAAATATCACAAAAAAAAATATTATAGACATTTTATTTCAAATTGTATATAAATATGCATTACAAACATAAAATCGTATTTATTATGAGGAATATTTTAATAATTAATTTCAAAAGTTTTAAAGAACAAATTCAATATTAATAAATATTTAATTCACAGGAAAATTTTGTCATTAAATAATACTTGAACCTTGATAAATGTATTTAAATCAAAAATCAAATCAGAAGAGAGAATATAAAATTTATAATTTATTGCTTTTCTTTTCCATATTATTGAAATACAGAAATTATGATTGTATATATAAATGAAAATGGCAAATCCCCAGTTAGAGTATTTTGTAGATGTACAAAGAGTAGGACACACAACAGTGTGTGGTACAACTCTCGCAGTGAGTTCTAGTACACTGCAAACTTTCTAAAGTATATTACAAATTTTAACTCAAGAAGAATTATTCTCCTCTATGTGTTTAGTCTCTTTCACTGTATTAAATTCACATCTACAATAGTTGTAAGAAAATTATTCGCGCGCACAAAAAAGAAAGAGAGGAGAGTATATTTTAGCCATGAACTTGATTGCAATTACTTTTACAATTCTCTCTCTTTATCTTATTATTAATGGAGTGCTTGTTTATTTATTTAAAAATTATTTACCGGAAATTTTAAAGCAGGCCTTCTTTTATGGAAAAACGTCAGAAAAAAAGAAAAAATCACTTCTTCACATGATTGAATTTCCAAAAAAGTGAGTTTTCTCAACTTTCTTTCCATTATTATTTTATCTAATTTTTTTTTTTTTTTTTTTTGGTTTTAAGTGGAAAAATTTATTAACTAAACTTTATTTATTACATGATATATTTAAATATTATTTTCAATAACTATTCAAATTTTAAAAAATTCCACAAAATATTTTTGATAAAATTCTTTGCAAAGTTTCAATTTTTTTTTATAAGTAATACAAATTTTCACAATCAGTAATTTAAAAACTTTTTATAAAATTCTTCACAAGACTAATGCAATTCTTTTCCCAAATAATGACATTTATCATAAGAATTATGTAAATTATTAAAAAAAATAAATAAATAAAATTCGTCTCAGAAATTGAATTATATTTTTAAAAATTTTATAAAGTCTTGAATTCTTTCTTCAATTCTTCACAACTTTTCAATTATTTTCCTAAATAATAAAATTTTTCACGAGAATTAAATTATTTTAAATAAAATTCTTCGCAATAATTCAATTATTAAAAAAAATAAATTAAATTAAATTATTCTCAAAAATTCAATTATTTTTTTAAAAATTGATAAATTCTTGAATTCTTTCTTTAATTCTTCACAATTATTTAATTATTTTCCTAAATAATAAAATTTTTCACGAGAATTCAATTATTTTCAGGAATAATAAATTTTTTCTCAGAAATTCAATTCTTTTTTTAAAAATTAATAAATTCATGAATTCTTTCTTCACTTCTTCACAAGAATTCAATTTTTTTCCCAAATAATAAAATTTTTCACGAGAATTCAATTGTTTTAAAAGAATTAAATAAAATTTTTTGCAAGAATTCAATTATTTTTATAAATAATAAAATTTTTCTCAGAAATTCAATTATTTTTTAAAAAATTGATAAATTCTTTGAAAGAATTCAATTATTTTACCAAATAATAAAATTTTCCACAAGAATTCAATTATTTAAAAAAAAAATTAAATTAAATTCTTCGCAAAAATTCAATTATTTTCATAAATAATAAAATTTTTCTTAAAAATTCAATTATTTTCCCAAATAATAAAATTTTTCACGAGAAGTCAATAGTTTAAAAAAGAATTAAATAAAATTCTTCTCAGAAATTGAATTATTTTTTAAAAAATTGATAAATTCTTTAAAAGAATTAAATTTTGAGAAACATTCAATTATTTAATATATTAGTTAGTTATTTGTATTTAAATAGTTGAATTTCATTTAATTTTCTAATAAGAATTGATTTAACAACGAATTTCAGTGGAAATTGAAAATTCTAATTCTTGTTTAAAAATTTAATTTAGAAATTCCTAAAAAAAATGTAATTGAAATGTTTTAAAAATAAAATTGTATTTCTGAAAATAATTTTTAAAAAAATTGAAACAATTGAAAATTTCGTCAAATTTTATTGAAATAAATTTTATATGTTTTAACGAATTTTATTTGTTTACTTTTAAAAATTATTTTGCAATATAATCGTATTTTTGAAGAATTCTAATTGAAAATTTGGAAAATAATTAAATTTTAATGAATTTAACTTTTTACCAGGATTTTTCGAGGGGTACTGGAAAGTTCAATTATTTAATCAAAAATATTTTACATCCAAATTGTTGTTAAAAAAATCTTGGCGATTTTTACACGAGTTGAACAAATAATTCTTAATTTTTTTTATAATATTTTTAAAGAAAAACTATCTATTAGAAAAATTATATTTTTTAAAAAATGAATTGTCATTAAATTAAAAAAAAAATTTTGTTTAAGTAACAACGGCAAATGTGATCATCTCTAGTCACGGTTAAGGATAGAAAAAAAGAACAATTCTTTTTAACATTCTAACAATTAATTATTTGTTTAGTTTTTGTCTTTTTTTTAAATATATGAATTTTTAAAATAATTCATTTTTTTAATATTTTTACGTTACTGAAGAAGACATCTGTGCTGTAAAAATGATAAAAAGAATTGTTATTTTTTTCTCTATTCTAAACCTTGACTCGGAATGATCGTTAACTTCAATTTTTAATTATTGTAAATAGTTGTTTTAAATTATTATTCTAATTAGTTATTTTAAATGATTTTCTACATATATAGTTATTTAAATTAATTATTTTAATTAATTCAATTTTTTTAATTAATATAATTATAAATTTATTAATTAGAAAAATATAAATTAAAACTAAAATAGTATTGCTATTTGTACCTTATAATTATTGTTATAAAATAACTAGCTTCGATTTGATTAATTCCAAAAAAATTTTTTAAGTTGTCGAATTAAAATTGAAAAGAAAAATTTTTTTTTATATATTAGTTTGGAAATTGTGAATTTCAAAAAAAATTTATCAATACATTGTCTAAGTTAAGAATGTATATCGATTTTATAATTTGCAACATTTTATCAAAATGTAAATTTTTTTGAACTTTTTTAAACAATGTGAAGGATAAAAGTTGAACTGAATATTTATAATGCTGTGAAATAAATTTTGAATTATCATTATATAATATATATGTTCTTTTGAGTATATTTATTAATATTTTTTTGTCTTTTCATTCAGAGAACAAAAAAAATCGTATTTTCTAAATTTCAAATTTTTCAATATATTTTGAAACACATTTTTTTTCGCATAACAAATATTTATAATATAATAATAATAATTACCTATTATTATAATATAATAATAATAATAATAATAATAATAATAATAATAATAATAATAATAATAATAATAATAATAATAATACTTATTATTATTATTAATTTATTATAATCATTTTAATAAAATTTGAAACTTTTTTTCTAAATTTTGATTCTATAGAAAAAAAATTACAAATAGAAAAACACTTCATTTTCAGGTGGTTTCAACATTATTATATTTTCGCATCACCTGTTGCGACGTATTGTTTATTTATAACAATGAGAAAATATTTTTTCAACGAAAATGTCCCGGAATTTATTTACGCATTTTTGGATTTAATAATTGGGAGTGAAAGAAAGCCTTTAAGTAAATAATAATTAAATAATTTAATAAATAAATAATATTATTATTTTCAATAATATTACTATTTTCAATGATAATAATATTAATAAGAAAATAAATTATTATTCCTTTTTTGGTTTTTAAAAAAAAATAATCGTTTTTTAGTTTCTTTGCCACAGGCAACACTTGCAATGTTACTTGTCGTTATTCAAACAACAAGACGACTCTATGAAACTCATTACATCAATATTTTTAGCGATGGAAAAATAAATATTTCTCACTATCTTGTTGGCTTTATTCATTATACTCTATTGCCCGCTTCAATTTTAGGCGAATCGGAAGGATTTCACAAAGGTAGGAGAAAAAAGAAATGAAATCAAAAATTCATTACTTTTTTTTATTTGAAAATTAAAAAAGTAAAATTGATAAATATTTTTTTCTGTATATTTAAAAAAAAAATTGCCAATACTTTTTTTTTTCTTCTTGTAAGAGAAAAAATTACTTTTCTTCTGGAACTAACAATAAATGTAAAAAAATTGTAAATTGAAAAATTTTAATAAACAATTGAAATTCTATATTGTAATTTATTAAATTATTTAATTAATAATATTTTAATCTATTAATAACAATAATTAGTTTGATTAATAATAATTTAATCAATTATTGATAATTTTTTTAATAATATTAATTTGATTAATAATTTAAACAATTAATAATATTAATTTGACTAATAATTTAAACAACTAATAATATTAATTTGCTTAGTAATAATTATTTTGATTAATAATAATTTTTTTCTTCTTTTCGAAAAATTGCAGATTTAGTAACAAATTATCAGGAATCATTGAAATTGAAAGATTGGATTGCGGCTCTAATTTTTCTTTGGATGAGTTATCAGCAATTACAGACGAATTTAATATTGGCAAATTTACGGAAAGATAAAAATGGTGTTGTCGTGACAAAGGAGCACAAAATTCCTCGAGGAGGACTTTTCGATTATATTTCCGCGCCTTTACAATTCACCGAAATTGGAATGTACGTAGCTTTACAAATTCTTCTCAGTCAAGGCGAAGCGTACTTTTTCGTTTGTCTCTGGGTAATCAGTAATCAGGTGAGAAATTATTCACTCAACTTTCAAATCAACTAAAATTAATTATTGAATAAAATTCAATTTAAAAATTATAATTAAAAATAAATATAATTATTGAATAAAAAAAATTAATTTTTAATTATAGTTTTAATTAAAAAACTAATTAGTTTCTTTATTTCAGTTTATAACCGGTCTTCTCTCACATCAATGGCATAGAAACACTTTTAAAGATTATCCACCAACGCGTAAAATAATTGTCCCTTATTTATTATAAATTATTATTTATTTTTTTTATACAATATTTCATATAAGGTATGAAAAAAAAGAATTTTTAATAACAAGACTGCAAATTGCACCTTTCTTCGACTATTATTCATTAACTTCTCTTCCTTTTTTTACTATTTTAATTTTTCTTAAATTTTCTTTTGTTTCGTTTAGTAATTTTTTTTCGTTAACAAAAAATGTAAACAAAAACTTTTTACCGAAAGTGTAAATAAAATAAGAATGAATTATAATTACACTATTTTTTCTTTGTTTTTTTTTTTAATAATATTATCCATAGTTATTTATAACAAGTATAACACTTAATACGCATTTCATACACACAATTGAGAGTAAAACTTCCTAAAAAATTGTACACGCTCGTCACATTTACAATTATATTAAACTTTTCTGTATTGGGCAAAAAAAAAAAAAAAAAAAAAAAAAAACAGAATACGGATGATGAAAAATAATATTCTTGATAAATGGAATGAGAAAATTATGATTTTGGTCAACAAAATTTTCTTTTTTTTTTGTATAAATCACTCATTTTTCTTTTTTTGTGTTTTCTTTATTTTTTAGATTTAATGGGACAGTTATCTAAATAGAAGGCTGAAACAAAATAATTTTTTTTATTTAGTAATAAGTAATTAAATGTAACTAAAAAAAGTGAATTTAGTCAAATGTGAAAAAACTTTGTCCAGAAGGAATTATTTGTATTTTTCTCTAATTTCTTTCATTTCGTCTATTTTAACTATTTTCACTCTATTTTATCTATTTTGATCTTTTTTTTTTACTCGATTTTATTTTATTTCTCACTCTTCTTTACTTCAAATAGTAGTTTATTTTCAATTAGAATCTACGAATTATTATTTTGTTAAAAAAAAAATTTCACATTTGACTAAATTGCAGGCCTCGGATCGACTTTAAGCTGCAAAAAAAGTCGCTTTAGTCGATTTAAAATAGAAAAAAAGTCGTTTATTTAATTCAGCGTCGTCACAAAAATTTTATTTTGTATTTTTCTGATCTTTCACTGATTTCTAAATTTAATTATTCAAAACTAGAATAATTTCGTTAAATAAATATTTAAATACTTCTTGTTTGTTTTTATACGGAAATAAAATTTTAAAAATTCCTATTTTTTAAAACTTTCTGAAATTTAATAACTTCTAAAAATTACAACTTTAATTCTCTTAAAATTCAATTATTTTCTACAATTTTTAATTAAACTTCTTCTCGAAATCAATTATTTTTTATAATTTTCCAAAAGTTCTTAGAGTATTCAATTATTTAAATATAAAAATTCATTTTTTTTATAATGATTGTAACTGTCCATGTGTTTTAAGTTATTAATTAATTTTCATAATAATAAAGAAATTCTTAAAATTAATTTTTCAAAAATATTTTAAAAATAGTTTATGAAATATAATAGTTTTTAAATGTTATATACAATTGAAAAATTTCCAAAACAATTAAAATTTGGTAAATTTTATTCAAAAAAATAATTGAATTCTTAAAGAATTTTAATTATTAATATGAACGTGATTTCTACAAAATTATAATTAATAAAAAAAAGTAAATTTTAAAAAATATCAAAAATAATTGAATTTTAAAAAAATTATAATGCAAAAATTCTAAGAATTATTTTCTTCAAAAATACTTTTTAATATAATTTTTAGAAGTTAATTTTCATTAATTACCATTTTTGAATTTACACTTAAAGATTTTTCATTAAATTTTTGAGAAATCTGTTTTTTTCAAAAATTTGCAAATAAAATTCTTTAAAAGTTGATTTTCAAAAATTTTTATAAAACACTTTGAAAAAAATCAATTATTTTCAATTAAATTTTATAAAATTTCAATTATTGAAACTCTTTTTTTATTGTAAATTTTGAAAATTTATTTAGTATTTATAAAAATAGTTGATTTGACTCGAAGAAATTATTAAAATTTTAGGAAATAATTGAATTTTATGGAAATATTTGAATTCTTCCAAGAAATTCAATTAAAGATGTTTTGAAAATAATTGAATTCCTGCAAAGAATTTTACTATTTATAAAAATAATTGAATTCTTGCAAAGAATTTTATTATTTATAAAAATAATTGAATTACTTCGAAGGATTTATTAAGAATTTAGAAAATAATTGAATTTATTCGAAATATATTAAAATTTTCTTTAGAAATTGAATTCTTTCGAGGAATTCAATTAAAATTTAATTATTCAATTTCAATTATTTTCAAAATTTAAAATTCTTCTAAAGTTGATTTTCAAAAATTTTTATAAAACACTTTGAAAAAAATCAATTATTTTCAATTAAATTTTATAAAATTTCAATTGTATTGAAACTTTTTTTAATTGTAAATTTCGAAAATTTAATTAGAAAAATTATTAATAAGTTGCATTTTATACTAAAAATTATTGCAATATTTGGAAAAAAAAGTCGAAAAAGTCGTAATTTTTTAAAATAAGTCGAAAAAAATCGCATTTTTTGAAAATAGTGTAAAAAAGTCAAAAAAGTTATAATATCCGAGGCCTGAAATTGTGTTTTTTTGGTAGAAAATTACAAGAAAACAATAATTTTTTTAAATAATTACCTGTAAGGATATCCCTGAGTTTTATTTCTGAATATGGATAAAAGAAAGCTAAAGAAAACGGTGACTAATCCCACACCTATCACAGCAAAAATTCTTCGCTTCTTTACATCTCCTTTACGTGCCGCAGCTTCTGTCATGAGAATCATTCCAAAAACAACAGCAGCGTCTGTTAATTTTTACAAAATTAAGGAAAATAAAAATTTGTGTTTGTTAATAAAAAGAAAAATAAAACCAACATTTACATTTCTTTCTATTTAAAATTAAAAAGAAAGAAACGAACACAATTTTGATTTTTTTTATGTAAATTTTTAAAAAAGCAAATGTGAAAATTGAAAGTTTAAAATAATTTTGATAAAAAAGGATACAGAGCATCAGAACGATGTAGGTTTCTAAAATGAATTGCCCCTGCGATGATCCGTGAATGTAGGCAACATTTCCGTTTGGCGATCTATGAACAAACGGCGGACTTCGAATGTGATTCCACATTTGTCCGGAGATCATCGTTAATGTGAAGAACTGAAAATTTTAATTTAGAATTTAGAATTTATTTAGAATTCTTAAAATTTTATTTTTACTTTATTATTTATAGTTATTTACCATAGCACCTAGGCCCCAGAGTGTTTTATTATAAATAAAGTCCAAATTATTTCTCCTTAAGTACAAGAAACCACCAATGAAAAGAGATAGAATAGTAACCACAACTGTTCCCGAATAATTTGGTGGACGGAAAACTTGTATCTGAAATTTCAAAAATTAATTTCAATTAAACTTTCTTCTAAATAACGTTTATTGACATTAAAAAGACTATCAAAGTAGAATTTTAATCCTATATAATAATAGGAATTTTTATACTATTAAAGTATAAATTTGAGTAAATTTTATATATATTAATTAAAAAACGGAATAATAAAAAAAAATACCTGAATATCAGTTCGTTCAGAAATCCATTTAACCATAGCATCGGCTCCAAAACCAACTCTCTGAATGTCCATTGTGTCACCTGGTTTTGGCTTTCCTTTAGCCGGGAAATGCATATAAACAGGCGCAGTATTGAGTCTCATCTAAAATAAAATTCATTAAAATTAAAACAAAAAGAAAATTACCTAAAAATTAAATTTAGTCATAAATAAATATTTAATTTACTATTCTAGATAGTAATGATGATGCGTTTTTCTTTACAAGCCCATTAACACTAAATAAATTAAATAGAAAAAATTGTTTCTCAATTAGAATAAAGGAAATTTGAAAAAAAATTAAATAAATTTTTATCAATTAAAATAAGGGAAATTAAAAATTAAATAAAAATAGTTAAATTTTTGTAAATTATTATAAGGAAAATTTAAAATTAAATAAAAATAGTTCAATTTCTGTAAATTAAAATAAGGAAATTATAAAATTAAATAAAAATAGTTAAATTTTTTGTAAATAAAAATAAAAAAAAATTTTTTAATGAAATAGAAATAGTTAAATTTTTGTCAATTAAAATAAAGAAAATTATAAAATTAAATAAAAAATAGTTAAATTTTTGTAAATAAAAATAAAAAAAAAAATAAAAATAGTTAATTTTTTGTAAATAAAAAAATATACTTTAAGAACTTTTCAAAGAGTAAATAAATTTTTTATCTCAAAATTTTAATAAGCAAATAAATGCTTATCTTAATTCTATAGTAAAAATAAATGTTCACCTACATTTTTTAAAGAATAAATTAATGCTTGTCTTACTTAAAAAAAAAAAAAATTGAAATAAGCAAAAAAAGAATCTAAATAATATTAATAAAATGAATATTATTTACCAATTGAAAAACATCAGATCCTTCGTCGAAATCCACGGATGCGAAGAATAATTTATTCGAAAAAGATTGAGAGTATCTAAACGAATTTGCTACTATCGTGAATTCATCCTTCGCTATACTGAAAATTATAACAAAAAAGAAAAATTATTAATTTTCTGCTAACAAATAAAATAATCTTCGCAAATAAAAAAAATCTACGTATTAATGAAAAATTATGGAAAATAATTTAATTTATTATACAAAATTTTTTATAAAATTCCTTCAAAGAATTCAATTATTTTCAAGTTTTATTTAAATTCTTTAGAAGAATTTAGTTTTATCAGTAAAATTTTAATAAAATTCTTTGGAAAAATTGTAATTTTTATCAAAACAATTGAATTTGTTTTTTCTTTTTTTTTTACAAATTATATTATTTTTTATTTTCTTACTTTCATAAATAATAAAATGTTTCAAAATTCTTCGAAACAATTCAATTTTTTTTTTAAAGATTATAAAATTTAAAAAATGAGGTTTTCAATAAAATTCTTCGAAACAATTCAATTTTGTTTCAAAAATTAATAAATTATAGTAATAATTGTAGATAAAGTGGCAAGTTAATAACAATTTTTTATTAAAAAAAAAAACGATATAAAAAATATTACCTGCAAAGTTGACACTGTCTTTGTGGTGCCATGGCAGTAAACATAACAACGACAGAATAATTTCTCGGTGTTGTTTTTATAAATCTTTTAAATTTTGCTCCATCAAATTTAATAACAGATCGTTTCATAGCCATATCAGTCAATTGTTGTACACGTTCAGCCAATGAGGCACTCTGACTCTGTGAATATTATTTTATTTCAATATTATCTATTTTTTTCCATTCCTAAGCTATTTTAAGTTCTTAAAATCATTTACATGTCAAATTTTTTTTAAATAGAATGAAAAATTGCAAAAAAGAGTCTTTCTACCTCTCATAACCTATAAAGCATCAAATTTCTCGAATTTCTCAAAATTCCAAGAAAAAAAAGAGGAAATAAATCCCTTTCAATCTAAAGGAATATTTTCGAAATATTTTTCATTTATTTCATATTTTTAAATCATTTATACATAAAAAGATAAGTTTTGGAAGAAAATATTTTGAGGTTATGTTTTACGATTTGTGAAAATCATAGAGATAAAAATCTCGAAAATATGAGAAAAAGATCATTTTTATTTGGGTTTATTAAAAGAAAAACATTTTGATATTAGTTATAAAAGGAAAAATAAATAAATTCGAAAGGGAAAATAAAATTGTTTACGTTTACACTTGAAGTGACGTGTCAAGTAAAGATTCGTCTCTTCTAATTTATAAATTTTTCTCTAATCGCAAATAAGTAAAAAATGAAAAATACTTACACTTTTCGTTCTATATTGACAGGTGACATGATTTGTATAATATAAAAAGAGTCCTAATAGAGCAAAATAAAATTTGAACTCCATTTTTTTGCAGAGGCGATTTTGACAAGCTTGTGTCAAAATCGCGCACACAGGTTAAAAAAAAGATATACACTGTGCGCGTAGTATTGAAAACCGGGACACGACACCAAAGAAGCAGACGAATTTATCGGTGGCAAGGGTTTGACGTGGCAATCAAATGAGCGTCTATTTATTTATTATCGATTCCATAAGGAGAAATTTAACAACACTGTAGTTTATTCTCACTAGATGATAGCTGGTATTTTTTAAATATCAATTTAACAAGTAAAAATTAATTAATTATCAAATTAACGAAAAGCACAGTGTTTATTTTGAACCCGAAGCAGGAATGTACCAAGTAAATTAATTTCTCGTTTTTTTGCAAAAATTTTTTGTTAGGAATTTTTGAAAATTATCATTTTTTATTAATTTTCATCAAGATGAAATGATAATTTTAATATAAATTTTTCAAATGAAGCCGAATTCTAATTTATCCACGTGTTTGGATATTATTATCAATTACAATTTTCATTGTTGAATTTACGCTACTGGTAATTTTTGAACTCTGCATTCTGATTTGTCGAATTTGTTAACACGAAGTTGAGCGCTGATTGGTTAGTGACGGTTTGTTTTTCTTCGAAAAACGGTCAATTCAAAACATCAAGGTTGGGAAACAGGTGTCAAAAAAATTAATTTGATAAAAGAAAATGAAAAAAAGGAAAATAAAGTATAAGTTAAATTAAGATTTTACATTTTTATAGTTTTTTTGTTCTCTATTTGATTATTCTTGTGAAAATGGGCATAGGGACAATAAAAAACTTCTGATTCTGAAGGTTAGGAGCATTGGGACTAAGTTCCGTACCCTGGAATAGAAAGAGAGAGGAATACACACACAAGGAGAATCCCGCCTCGAAAAAACGTTAAAAAGCCAAAAAGGGGGGGACCCGGTGGTGGAGAACGAAATATTTTCTCATATAGAAACTTGAATTCAAGGGGTCAAGATGGTTTAGGGTTTAAAGGGGGTTAGGATTTTTTTCCTTTCGTTTTCGCGAGTGTTTTACAAGTGATTAGTGTTTAAAGTTTTGTTTAATTCTTGAAAAAAGTGATTATTTTTACAAGTGTAACGCGTTATTGTTTCAATATATCGAGTGTTTTTTTTTCTAATTGTTACGTTTCATAAATATCTCCCCTCACAAAATGTCTTTTTCCAAGGCGAGAATTCAACGATTCAACGAACTTGGAAGTGAGTTTTTTTGTTAAATTAATTTATATTATTATGTATTAATGTATAATAATGTATTAATTATATTAAATTAATTAATAATTATTATATTATTAATTAATTAATAATCATTTTATTATTAATTAATAAATACTTAATAAATATTATTAATTAATTTATGTAATTATAAAAATTAATTCTAAGGATAATAACTAAGTTAAAAATATAATAATACATTTTTCTGTTTTACAGGTCGGTTTTACATAGGTTTTTTCTTTTTTTTTCGCTGAATCGTAGAAGAGCACGTAGACTTTTCTTGACCGAAATTCAAGCTCTTCTGGATTGAATTTAATATTAATATTATATAAATATTAATATTAATTAAATTCAATTCAACTTTTGAGTTTAAATATTTTGAATGCATATCATTATAGAAAATGTCATTGTGCATATAAAATATTTAAAAATCAAAAGTTAAGTTTTGAGTTCCCCGGAGGACTTTGATTTTGGATAAGAAAAAATTAACGTGCCTTCTGCGATACAGCGGATCAATTTTCATTTTAACCCCAACATGTTTATTGTTGTTGGTTAGAAAAAGAGTTGAGACTTAATTTGAGATTACTCACGACATTATATCTTACATACATAAAAACTTATGGATATTTGAAGAAAGTACTAGTTTACAGGCAAAAAAAGTCAAAAATTCACAAGACGATCTTTAAACAGCTGTAAATTCTTCAATTTTTCACCCCCCCCCCCACTCGTAGTAGTTAAAAAGGAAAAAAAGTTAATTTTCAATTTGAGATCACTAAGAATATCATATTTTGCATACATAAAAATTTATGTCAATTTAAAGAAGACGAAAGTTCGAGTTTACATTAGAAAAATTTCATGGGCAGCTGGGAATTAAATTTTGTCATTTTCACACTCAGTTGTGTCTAGACTAGTTTTAAAGGGCGCAAAGTAAGCTATACATTTGAAGACCACGAAAAATATTTTATTTTGAAAATTAAATTTATTTAATTTAATTAAAATTTTTGAATATTTACTAAATTTATAATAATAAATTTATATTATATTAATTTAAATATTAAATTAATAAATATTTTAATATTATTGTTAATTAATAGTATGACATAAATTTAGCTCTCTGTGGTATTTCAATAGTATAATTAATTAAATATTAATTTTAATAAATGAAAACTCTTCACTATTAATTTTAATATTAATTAATATGAATCTTAAATAAATATTCGAATTTTTTGTTTCAACAGATTATTAATATTATTACACCGAAAAAATCATATTCTTAATTTAGAAATACAATCTTGGCTCCTATTTAAATATTTTTTTTCATGTATTTTATTTTTAAAGTTATAATATAATATTTCTTAAATAAGAAATTCTTAAACTCAAAAATATTCTTATTTTAAGAAACTTTTTATTAAAATTATATTATTTTATTAAAATAGGAAAACTTTGCAGTTTGCAATATGTTTTTACTTAATTTGACAAATTATTTTTATATTATTTTATTGTGAATTATTGTATTGTGAACTGTTATTTATTTATTTATTATTTACTGTTTTTATACAAAGACGGATTATTTATTTATGATTCTACTCAATCGTCAGGGCATAAAATTTAAGTCCTCGTTAATTTTACTTATTAATTTTTTACTCCCTGGTGAAGAGGAAATCATTTAGATTTCGAAACGTTGAAGTAAATAAATATTTTTATTCATTGTCCGAATGTTTTCGTCTTATTTTATTTTTTAATTTAAAAAAAAAGAATCGAAAAATTTAAAAAAAAAAAAATAAATTCCCAGTCTTTATATGAAACGTTTATACCTGTTGATCGCGTCTCACCCTTGAAAACTAATTCCGCACTTAAAAGCGAAACAAAACGGAAAAATTCTCTCATTTTCAAATTTAACTTTTCTCCTGACCCTAATTTTCCCACAAAATATAATAGGATTTATATAATACCTTTAAACTAAATCATTTTTCAAAAATAAAAAAAAAGCATTTAATTTTTAAATGTTTACATTGTCGTCACTTCTAAAGAGACCACACGTAGGTGAAAAATAGAGGGGGGGGGGTGCCAGGGGGGGGAAAAGAGACTTGAAGTTGTCATGGGGTGTGGGGTGAAATATAGGGGGGAACACCTGGTAATTCTATGTACCCCATAAGGACGACCCCTTAACATTACATCACCAGCTGTCCCCCATTTTTAGCTCCCAGTTTATTCCCAGTGATTCTCATCAATATTTCTTTTTTAAAATTCACCCGAAATTGTCACACACTCTTGTTATTTATTTACAATTTCTTGTTAATAAATAAGACAATTTTCTTTTATTATAATTTTTTCTTTATGTAAATAAAACGTAAATTTTGTTTTTTTTGCTTTATATTGGAAAATATTATATAATTTGAAATTTTTTTTCAATTTTGCTTAAAATTTCCGTGGGGGTAAAAGTAGAGGAACCCTGGGGTAAAAATTGAGAGACACTGGAATTTTGTCTTGGTACTCGTTAGGAAAAGAAAAAAAAAACATTTATATGTGTGAAGAGAGAGAGAGAGAGAGAGAGAGAGAGAGAGAGAGATATTATGCTTGTCGCAAATGATATTTTCTTTTTTGGTTTATATGTATTTGTGCATATATATATTTTTCAGGGGCGGAACTTGGTCGCTTCCGTGCTCAGGCAGATGTGTCTTTGCTCATTTTTCTTTCCTTCTCTTCGTCTTCACCTTTTTTTTTTATCTTTATTTTATGCAGACTTTGCAGAATTGACGCGACATTTTTGAAAAATTACCTCTTAGAGGGGGGAGGGGGTTTAAAATTCGTCTTTGTAGAAGGGGTGACATTTTTTGCCATATACTGGTGTACTTTTTTACATATTTCTTATTTATTTATTCTTTTTATTGTCACATTTGTTTTTCTTTCTATTTTTCTTTATTTACATATTTGCTTTTATTTTTGTTTTCAAATTTTGTTTATTTTTATTTATATAATTATTTACTTTTATTTATATATTTATTTTTACGTATATAATTACTTTTACTTCTATATTTATTTATAATTATTTAGATTTATATTATTTTGTAGACCATTTATTATTAATTAAATAAAAATTCATTATGTATTTTATTTTTAAAAATTTAAATCGACACGGGATTCGAGCCCTGTCTATCAAAGTTACAGAGCAGTGTGTTAATCCCCGCGGCTACTGTAAACGTTTACTTATTTATTACAAATTTACAAGAAAATGAATAAATTTTTGGATATTAATTTAATTATAATATTGTAATTAATTAAAAATTGTACTATTATAATTAAATTAAGATTATTATTATATAATAATTGGAATTAAACTAAAATTATTTTATAACGAAATAATGTCTAAAATTAATTTTAAAAAAAGGAAAGAATAGTGTAGTAATTTGAATTTTTTTTAAAGGTGAGGCACCGCCGCCCGGAGCTTACGATCCAAAATTCGAAAACAAAGTCAAAGGACTTGCAATTGAGAAAACGGAGAGATTTCAAGATTCAAAAAGTGTATCGAGCAGCGCAGAATGCATGTCAGTGTCAAGCAAAGGGGCCGGCAGTACCTCTGGTCTCAAATTCAAAACGGTAAAGAAGAGGGTTACGCTAATAAATATAAACGATTTTTTTTCAAGTACACTGAACTTTCCGTCCCCTTCGATCTTTTTTTCTCGAGACGATTATAAATCCAATCTCTTTATATTGATTCCATTCCAAAATTATTTTTCTCTTCCCTTAAAAAAGAATCAATCCTTCAAAAAAAAAATTCATATTTTTTTGCCTTTTTTGTTATATAAATAAAATAAAAATTTTCTTTCTGCCTTTGTTATAAATAAAATTAAAAAAATTTCTTTTTTGCAGCCACCAGTGCCAAGGAGAAAAGTTCTTGTAAAACATGGAACAATGTCTTGTCCAAGAGCAAAAACAAAGCTGTTAATTTGTCCAAAGGAATCGAAAGCACAATACGATATGAAAAATGAATTGGCCGATTTGAAAGTTGAATGTTCAAATAAAGACAAAACAATTCAGGATCAGGAAAAACATATCGAGGATATGATTGAAGAGATAACGGATTTTAAAAAACGATTAATTGAACTCAATGAAAAATGTATTAACGATGAAGAGCAATATCGACGTGATATCGAGTCCATGGTGGGTGGAAAATAATTCTTTAGTTCTTTAAAAATACAAAATTTTCCCTTAATTTCGAAAATATTTGCTGAATTTATTAAATTATAAAGCAGAGTCAAGGAAAATATTCAAAAATTTTTTTAATTGTATCAGAGTTACCACAGGAACAGGGAATTTTATCAAAAGTACTGGAAAAAAAGTAAATTTTGAATTTTGGTTTTTTTTTTGTTTGACTCATAAACTATAAAACTATCACGAATTTTAGTACAAAACCTTAAATTTTTTCTATATTTCTATCAATAATAATTTATTTTAAATAATTTACTTCTTGAAGAAATATCAACAATTAATTAATTATAAATTATTTACTGAAAAATTTTACTTAAATCTTAAAAAATAATTGAATTTTATAAGAGGTGCGTTTACAGTTTTAACAAATAAATGAATTTCAAAAGGTTTCAGTTTGAAATTTTAGAAATTTTGAATTTTGAATGAATTTAATTAGAAATTTTGAAGAACTTTAATTATTTTCTATAAAATTTCTCGAAAGAATTGTATAATACAGTTTTAGAAAAAATTTTAATAATTCAAATTCTTTTGAAATTAGTTCAATTTTGTATTATATTTAATTAATTATTAAAAATAATTAATTTAGAGAAGATTTTTAATTAAAAATTCTAGAAAATAATAATTTAATTAAAATGATGAAAATAATTTTGAAAAAGTTACAGTAACAATATTCTTATACGTTATTGAATTTCCAAAGGTTTGAATTAAAATTGTTGATAATCCTAATTACTATGGAAAAATAATAATTCATTAAATATCTATTATCATTTTATTTAAATAAAACTATTGATATTTTGTAATAATTTTCCAATTAAAGAAATTCGTAAATAAATGTAATAGAAAATTTTTTTTTAATATCTAATAATTTTTAATCAGAATATTCTTTAGGGTTAGGGAAAAAGTGAAAATTTTGTCTGAAAATCAGGGAAAAACAAATTTAATTTTTTATGAAAACCCTGTGTTTTATTCGCAATATGCGATTAATTTTGAAAAGTTTTTTTCTTCTTTTTTTCAGGCAAAATTACAGCAGGAAGTATTGCTTAGTCATCAGGAGAAGCATAAAGTTGAATTGGATTTTTTGCGTTCACAATTATTGGAATTGGCGAATTTTAAGAAAGAAGAAATTCTTGGATTCAATCGACGTGAAGTTGAATTTATGGATGAAATTGTCGCATTTAAATGCAAAGAAGCCGAATTAAATAATCGAATTCATATGTTGGAAAATAATTTATCAAATGCACAGGGTGTCGAGGAATTGGCATTGAATTTAAAGAAAGCCGAGGAAAGATTAAATGAATTATCTACTGAAATGTTGGACATTATCGATAATAAAGATCACGAATTAGAAACTCTCATGGATCTAAAAAGTGAAATTGAAGACGAATTAAACATCATACGCGAAGAAGTATAAATTTTAAGATATTTTTCCTTTGCAATTTTTTTAAATTCCATCTTTTTTGCTAATTTATTTAAAATTCTTAATTAAAAAAAGATTACAATTGAAAAAAAACTAAAATTTTGATTTTATATAAGAATTTTAATTGAAAATTTCCAAAAAGAGATAAAATTTATCTTTGCAATTATTTAAATGTAATATTTTAATAGTTTCAGGAAAGCCAACAGAGAGCAAATGATTTGGAGCGAAATTTGGAGAATTTAACGGAAAGTTTAGAATCGAATTTAGCATCATCAAAAAGTAAATTTACATCGGAAATTCTTGATTTTATTGATTTTTCACTAAACTCATTAAATACGAACGAGGAGAATGTGAATATTTTAATGGAGGATAAGGAAATTGAGGTGAGATTTAAAGAAATCATAGAAAATTTTAAACAAACAAAAAATAAGGAAATCGATGATTTAAAGGCGAAATTTGAGAATCTGGAAAAAGAATGTGAAGCGGAAAAATTTATGAGGCACGAATACGACGTCAAACACAAGGAATCAAATGAAACTTTACAATTTTTAACTGAAGAATTGGAAAAAATCCAAATGCTTTACAAAGATGTAAGTTTTTCTTTTTATCTTTTAATTCTTTTTTTTACTTAAATGCTGAGATTTTTTTTAATTTGATTTAAATTTGATTAAATTAGAAAAATTCTTTTTGCAATTTCTGGCTGGATTTTTTTTTCATTGAAATAAAATTAGTTGCTTGTAAAAACCAAAAATTTGGTTTTTATTTTGAAAAAAAAAATTCTATAGGCTTCTCTTCAACTGCAAATGGCGAATGCAAAATTGGAAACTGCAAACGAGAGGCAAATGGAAATGGAAACTGAGCACAAAATAAAAGTGGAGGATCTTTCGATATTTTATGAAGACGAGAAGAAAATATTGAGGAACTTAATGGAGGAAGCAAGATTGGAATATCTTCAACAAATCGAAAACGTAAAAAATTATCTTCTCTTGTGCTTTTAATTTACCAATTAATTGCTTTATTTAAATGAAGATTTGAATAAAAATTTTTTTCATCCCCAGATGTCGAATGCAAGAAATCAGGAATTAAAGGAATTGGAGGAGAAAATGGAGAAAACTATTGACGATGAACGAAAGCGAGTAAAGGAGCACGCCGATAAACTTGTGGAAAATGCTGAAGCAATTACGCGGGAAACTTTGGCGGCGTGTCGGGCCGAAAGTGAAGAACGAGTGAAAAGAGTGATTACGGAATCGGACACAAAAGTAGGGGATAAAAATTCTTTTATTGAATTTAATGAAATTTAATTTAATTTAATTTTTTTTAAAACTAAAAATTTTTACACATTTTTGTCCCCTAACGATAAAAAAAGAAATTAAAATAAAAATTACAATAAATTCTCTCCTCTAATGATTCAAAAAATAAAAATTACAGTAAAAAAATTTCGATAACTTTTTTTGAGAAAGTAAAACAAAGATAACAATAAAAAAACTTGGACAATATTAATTTTTTTATTCTTCGTAGGTGAATAATATGGTGCGAGAGATGGAAAAAGTTACGGACAACGAAATTCGTTTGGCTAATGAAAAATTTACAACTTCCTTAAAATGTGTTGAGACTGAGAAATTATCTCTTGAGGAAAAATTGTCGGAGGCAAATTTAGAAATTACTCAACTCAAGTCGACTCTCGAGGAGTTGAAAAATGCCGCTGAAACTCAGGTAATTAAGAAAAATTACTTTAATTAATTTATGAAATTAACGATGTGTGTATAAAAGTGGAAAATTAAGGAAATTTTATAAATCATAAAAATTAATTAACGCCTTTAATTAAATTATAAAGCGATTAACGAAATAGATAAAATTTTAATCAAGTTGTATTAAATCATTTTTATAATTTAATTCATTTCGTTCTTTAACTGTATGGTTTTATTTATTCAAATTTAAATTTTTAAATTTATATTTCAAAAATTTTTATTACAATTTTTTCAAAACATTCAATTATTTTCAAAATTAATTAATTTCAAAATTAAAAATATTTAAAAAGAAAAATTTAATTAACAAAATTAAGTTACAAAATAATTAACGAAATTAATAAAACTATAGAGTTAATTTAAGAAAAAGAATTACAAAAACTGATTTACTAACTTAAGTTTATAATTTTATTATTTATTTTGTTCCTTATTATTATAATTATCAGTTTTATAATATAATTCACAAAATTAATTAAGGAAATTAATGAAAATATAAAGTTAATTAAGGATAAGAATTAAATTATAAGATTTTCACTAACTTGATTGAATTAGTTTTATTGATTCTTAAATATATTTGCTTGTTAATTATTAATTAAAAACCGAAAATTTTTTTAATAATTTTTAAATTAATCCCCTAGGAGAGTTTCAGTCAAAGTTTACAAGCGGAATTGGATCGAGCCGAGGCCGAATTAGCGGAGAAGAAAGAAGAATTTCGCAATTTTAAGGATCACATCAGAACTGAAGCTGCAGAAATGGTTTCGCGAAGAAGAAGGTAAAAATTTTCATCTCCCATCTGTTTAAATTTTACAATTTGTCACCTTTTCTTTCCCTTTGAACATAGAAAAAAAGGAAATAAATTTTCCTTTTTGAAAAATCGAGAGAAAAATGAAAAATAAAGAAAAATATTCTCTTTCGGAAAACAGAAAAAAGATTGAAATGATTTCTCTTTTGAAAGACAGAGAAAAATACAAATATTTCATCTTTTTAAAAGAAAATAGAAAAAAGTAGGTACAAAACATTTTCTACCATAAAAAAATATTGATTTTTTTCCACAGATTCGAGGTGGTAATGTCAGAGAATCAAGCGTCTCTTGCAGCCCTATCAAATCGTCTCGCACAAAGTGACAATGAAGTGAAAAGACTTCAGCGTGAATTGGAAATTAGTGATACTTCAATTAGCGATTATCGTGATTTATTGTCAACAATGCAAAATAATGTGAAACATCATCAGGAACAAATGCAATTAATTTCCGAACAATTGAAAACAAAGGAGAATCTCATTGATGAAATTGAGGAAAATTGTCGCGTTGAAATTCAAACGATAAAATTGTCACTTGAGAAAAAAATTGACACTGTCATGGAGACAACTGCAAATGAAGTGTCACGACTACAAGAGGAATGCACAAATAAAACTAAACTCAATATTGAGGTAAATGAATAGAAAACGAAAAATTCATTGTATTCATATTTTTTTCTATATTTTTTTTGTCTAGTTTTTCCATATTTTCTATCTTATTTTCTTCTATTTAATTTTAAGTAAATTTTTTATTTGCTTTTTGTTTCTTATTTACTTTTACTTTTACTTTACTTTTAAGAAATTTTACTTATTTTATTTTGAATTTTCCAGTTGAAAAAAATGTTGGACGAAATGTCAACAAAATGGAATGATGTGCAAATAATGTTATTGCAATTCGAAGAACAAATGGACGAGCAATCGATTGAAATTGCAAATTTAGAGATTAAAAATGCAAAATTGGAAATCGAGCTCAAAAATCAAGTGAATCTTTTAAATGAGAGCAAAACGCGAGAATTCGAAAATGAAGAGGTAAATAAACAGAATGTAAATTTACCGTTTTTGCAATTTTCACGAAAAAAATTTAAATTGTTTATTTTTTATTTATTTATTAGTATTTACGGTTTTAAACTTGATTTTTTTAATTACTAAACTAAATTACCGACTAAATTAGTAATTTATTATTTTCAATTTTAGAATCTACAAAAGTTGAAAGAACTGCGAGTGAAAATTGAAGATATACAAGCAACGAATCTTCATATGAAGGTAAATTTTTTACAAATTGAAATATATTCTGTCGAAGAAAGATTTTTAAAATCGTAATTAAAATTTTAATTAAAATTAAAATTAGAATTATAGAAAACAAAATTTTATAATTAAAATTAAAAATACAATCTATTTTAATAATCATTGTAATAATTGAATTTTATGAAAAATTCAATTATTTTCAATAATTGTAATAAAATTGTTTATTCACTTTCTAAATAATAAAAATCTTCGTAAAAAATTCAATTATTTTTATATAAATAATAAAATTCTTAACAGGAATTCACTTATTTTCAATAAAATTTTAATTGATTTCTTCGAAAATTTCAATTATTTTTAAAAATCTTGTAAAAACTCTCCGAGAAAATGCAATTATTTTAAAGAATAATTCAATTTTTCACAGAAGTTCAATTATTTAAAAAACTTTTAATAAAATCCAATTGAAGAATTCCATTATTTTTGAAAATAATTAAATTTTCGATGCAATTCAATTATTTTAAATAAAATTTCATTTGAATTCCAGGGAAAATTAAATTATTTTTAAACATTTTTTTTAAATTCATCGAAAGAATTCAATAATAACAATAAATAGTAAATTTTTCACAGGAATTCAATTATTTTAAATTCAATTCTAATAAAATTCTTCTCAAAAATTCAATTATTTGCAGAAATAATAAATTTTCTCGCAGGGATTCAATTATTTAATAAGGTTTTAATAAAATTCTTTTCAAGAATTCAATTATTTTCAGAAATAATTAAATTGTCGATGTACTGAAAATCAATGAATTCTTCGAAAGTATTTATAAAAAAAATTTGAAAATAATTGAATTCATTTGAAGAATTTCATCAACATTTTTTTCAATAATTGTTTTGAAGAATTTATTTCAATTTTTTTTTGAAATAAAGGAGTTTTTTTAAAAATAATTTTGAAAATAATTGAATTTTTATTAAAACTCTTGAAAATAATTGAATTTATTTCAATTTTTTTGGAAAGAAAGGATTTTTTTTAAAAATAATTTTGAAAATAATTGAATTTTTATTAAAACTCTTGAAAATAATTGAATTTAAATATTTTTAAAAATAATTGTATTTTTGCGAGAAATTATAATAAAATTGTATTGAAAATAATTAAATTCCTCCGAAACCTTTTATTATTTATGAAAATAATTGAATTCCATTGAAGAATTTTATTATTTACGAAAATATTCTAATTTTTGCGAAGAATTTTATTATATAGGAAAATAAATTAATTCTTGTGGAGGGTTTTTTGTTATTTTTATTTTATTCATAAAAATAATTGAATTATTTCGAAGAATTTTATCTGAACTATACAATAAATTTAAATTTCACTTAGTGACATTTTTTTTTTTGGTTTCTAGGAAAAAATTGAAAAATCCGAGGAAGAGAAGAAAAGTTGGAAAACAGTGGAAACGTCATTAATGGAAAATTTGAAGAAAGAAAAATTATTCCGAGAGAATAGTGAAAGGTAACTAGTAAAATTTTGTTCTTCCTTTCTTTTATCAATAATTTTTTTTAAATTAAATATTTTATTTATGAATATAGATATTAATTGTTTTTATTTTCTTAATTTCAGAGAATTGAACGTACTTTCGGATACTTTCGAGCGAATTAAAAGTGAATACGAAGAATTAAATGAGAAATATGCCGAAGTTTTGGGACATCACAACAATCATCAAAGGATCAAGCACATCTCAAAATTGAAGGATAAAATTCTCAGTCAACAAAAGGATAATCTAAAATTAAAACAGGTTCGTTTGCTCCTTGCCGTTGGCGTTCTGCTCGGCCTTTATTGGATTTGGTTGAATTTTACATCTAAACAATTATCGTTCAACGTTCCAAAAGTCCTTTTTAAAGACTAAATCAAAAGAACAAAAAGACAAAGCCAATTGTTCAATTTTATTTTTTTTATATAACTTTTTTATACTTTAAGAGCCCGGAGCTTGCATTATTAGCAGAAAAAAAGAAGTTTTTTCATTTTTATTAATTTAGAATTTTAGAAAAAATGTTCTAAAGAAATTATTTGAATTCTCAAAGAATTATTTAAAGTTCAAAAGAATTTTTTGAATTTCAGCAACAGTTTTAAGATTTTTTAAAAGCTAATATTTTCAAAGAAGAATATAATTTAAATTTTTTAATGTTGCAAATTCAAAAAAAAAAATTGTTTCATACTAAAGTTGTTTTAAAGTTTCAAAAAAGCTTTTCTTTTAAAAATTTTATTATTTTAATTTAAAAATAGTTTATAACTTTCAAAATTTGTTTTCATTTTAAAAAAACAATTGTTTGCAACTTTAAAAATTTGTTTTCATTTTGAAAAATAATCGTTTGCAACTTTCAAAATTTGTTTTCATTTTGAAAAATAATTGTTTGCAACTTTTAAAAATTAAACAAATTTTTTAAATTTTAGGTATTAAATTCCAAAAAGCTTTAAAAAAAAAGTAAATTTCAAAAATTTGCTTTCAAAAGTAAAACTTTCTTTGTTAAAATTTTGTTATAAAAAAATTTTTTTTTTAAACTTTCTCATTCTAAGAGAACAAGAAAAGGGTCTGCGATCCTGTAAAATTTAATATATTTAAAAAAAACAATATGTTAGTTATATAAGTAAATAGTAAATCTTTTTTTTTTATCCGAAAATCTATATTTTTTGTATTTTGTATTACATTGAAATAGAGGATTTATTTCCTGATGAAAATAAAAACTCATTTCCTCGCGAAATTTGTCTTTATTTCTTTCTTTTTTTGTCATTTCCATATTTTTGAAATTTTTTTAGGAACTTGAATGCAAGACGAAGCTAATTGAACAATTAACGATGACAACGACGACAAAATTAAGCACAGAGAAAATTGTTAAATTGGCCAAAGGAAAGGAGAATGTGTGCTCTTTGGGAAAAACGTCGGCGCCGCAAAAAATACGTACAAATTCTTCTACTGCACTATCGAAAAGTGCAAATACAACGCCAACAGCATCGCCAAGTAAACCCTTAACGCCTCTACGTAATCGAAACGACTAACAAAAAGAAAATATAAAATTTCATTAAAAAAAACTATAAAAATACAAAAAAAATCACAAGAAAAACTATAATTATATTTTATAAGTAAAATTAATATTCATCATTATAAGGAAATAACTGTTAAAAAGAAAACATTTGCAATCACAAGAAACAGACTTCTAGAGAAAATTATTTTAAATGAAAAAAATATTTTAATTCTTTAAATGAAAAGAAATAATAATTTACAAAAAAAAAAGAAATAATATGCAATTCTGTAAATAATTTTTATATTGGAGTTTCAAATTCGTTTTTGTTACTTTCGACAGTCGACAAAAAATTCAGAGAGTCGAAAAAAAAATTATATATTATATTAGATAACAATTTACATTTTTCCCAACGAGGGAAATTTTTATATCACTAAGAAAACAATATCATATATTTTTATAGACAATAAGATTAAAAGAGAATTAATATTTTCTTTTTTCTATTCTTAAATTTTTAAATTAAATTTTTTAAACACTTGTTTTAAATCAACGTCCAAAAGTTATATTTAAACTTTAAAATTTCCGACTAATATTTTATAAAGTAAATTAATATTATTTAATTAAAAAAAAATTAAAAACTACATTTACCAATATATTTGTATAATTCTCAATTAAATGTACAATTATTTTAAGATTTTTTTTATAGTTTAATGGGTAAATTCTTAAGCTTTTGAATGAATATTAATACAATAATTGAATAACAAATTAATAATTAATTACTAAATTAGATTAATTTTTCAATTATTAATTGATAAATAATTTTCAATTTTTAATTGATATTCAAATCTTTAATTTATAAATTAGTTGAATAATCGATTAATTAATTAGATTCATAATTGATTAATAAATTAGTTTGACGATAAATAAATATATTTATTCTTGTAATTAATATTTTTTTCATCTATTTAATTATTTATTTCGCTTTATAATTGTTTTAATGTTCTACTAATTAAATCAATCGCTGTATAATTAATACCCAATCAAGTATTTTAGCGATTCAATAATTAATTAATCCAATAATGCAATCAATTATTTATTAATTAACTTGTATTTAATTTTTCAATAATTTCTATTTAATGTTTAATTAATTTTCAAATTGCATTTTTAATTTATTTATTTTACTCTTTAATAAAAATAAAATAATTGAATTTATTCACTATAATAATAATTATTATTTTTAGAAGAATTCGCTATTAAGATTCATAAAATATCTTGATCGTTAATTTTAAAGTTTAATTTTTAATATTAGGTAAAATTTAAAGAAAAAAAAATTTTTTTTTCTTGCGAATATTTGTATGAAATAGAGTGGGAAAAAATTATTAATCAACGTTATATTTTTTATGCGGTCGTATTTATTTATTATACATTTTATTCTATTTTATATATAAGATAGTAAAAATATGTAACATTTGCGGTTATTTATTGATTTTGCAAAGACGAAAATTTTGCTGGTTTTTCAAAATTATATAACTTTGAAATCAATGAAAAACTTGATGAAAATTGTGGGTATACTATTTATTAATTATTATTATTATATGTTACGTTCTGATATGTAAAAAAAGTAATTTTGAAAATTCACTTTTTTATTAATTGAAAATAAAAACTGATAATTATAATTCCATCTTTTAATTTAATATATAAAAATTAGTTTTTGAAATAAATTTTTTAAAAATTAAATTTATTCATTTTAGTTTATCTGTTGGTTTTCATTTTTTTCATAAATACTTTTTTGGGACGCAGGAAATTGCCTTTTTCAGTTTTACTTAAAAAATATAAAAATATATTAAGTAATGAACCTTGGGAAACGTATTTTTAAGTTTTCCTTTAATAACTAATTTTAGGGATTCTGGAATTTGTCTTTTTCATTTTTTCATGAATACTTTTTTTACTCTTTTTTTTAGTTTTTTATTAATAATTTATTATTAATTATTTAATTTTATTGTTTGAGAGCTGCTTACGTTAGGGCTGCTTCTAGTAGAATGGAGATCTCGTGTGGTGCGTTTGACTTTTATAGTCGGGAGTTAGAACTTCACTTCTCGGAAAACGGTTGCTGGAGGGGAGAGGCGCATGCGCAGTAGACGTGGCACTGTCGATCGGACGCCAGGGCCGTAAGCAGATATCGTGGTACCCACGACAAACTTTTAATTGCAAACTTTTATTTTTGTTATTTAATGTAAAAAATCCGACAAGCAGATTAATAATATCAAGAATAAAATTAAAATTATTCAAAAATAAAATCATCTATACACAATTCTGCAATTTGTATACAACCGAGGAAATTGAGAATACAGAATAAAACACAAACAGAAGAATAAACAAAAGAATAAAAATTTTATATTTTCGTGGAAATTATTTACTGTCAGGGAATATTTTTGACGTCACTAATATGGAAAAACCGTCGAGTCGAAACGAACTACTCGGACTTAACAATTGCCTGGTAAAGTCATAATTCTTGGACGTTTTATTAGACGATAAGTCAAAGTTATTTTCCTCCTCGAATAAAGTATCTCCGTAAATTACAAAAAATATTCGAATTTTTCAAATCCCTACTTCATTTTCTTTATTAAAAAAGCAAGGAAAAATATTAAATATACAAAAGAAAGTTAATACCCCACATAGCACCATAGTATGAGGTAAGGTTATGTTGAGTACTAATCGTAAGGCACATAAGGTTACACAATATTGCTGCGGTAGACCTGAGGTGAACTAAAAACTTCCGCCATGGAGGTAAGGTTACATGTTAGGGTGTGGTGAGTATATATGATAAGGCCATGGTAACCTTACACGTTAAGGTTAAGGTAACCTTACACGTTAAGGTTGATGTAACCTTACACGTTAAGGTTGAGGTAACGTTACATGTTAAGGTTGAGGTAAGGTTACATGTCAAGGTTGAGGTAAGGTAATTAATAAGTTGTAAGGTTAAGGTAAGGTTGTGATAAGCTTACCAGTTATGGAAAATATTGAAAAAATAATTAATAATATAATAAATAAATATTAAATTAGAAAGTTAAGTTTGTTGCTCTTCTCTATTTTGGAAACCTGACATAAAGCAGAAAATTTTGAAAACAAATTTGGGGGGACTGGGATTCGAACCCGGGATCGACGCGCATAAACCTATCATTCTAACTAACTGAGCTAAGTAGAGAACTGGCAGAAGGAAAATTAATGTTGCCTTTAAGGTGAACCAAGAAGATGATTAACTCCTTAAAGGCAATATTAATTTTCCTTCTACCAGTTCTCTACTTAGCTCAGTTAGTTAGAATGATAGGTTTATGCGCGTCGATCCCGGGTTCAAATCCCAGTCCCCCCAAATTTGTTTTTAAAATTTTCTGCTTCATGTCAGGTTTCCAAAATAGAGAAGAGCAACAAACTAACTTTTTAATTGAATATTTATTTATTAATTATTTTTTCAATATTTTCCATAACTGGTAAATTTATCACAACCTTACTTCAACCTTACAACTTAATAATTACCTTACCTCAACCTTGACATGTAACCTTACCTCAACCTTAACATGTAACGTTACCTCAACCTTAACGTGTAAGGTTACATCAACCTTAACGTGTAAGGTTACCTTAACCTTAACGTGTAAGGTTACCATGGCCTTATCATATATACTCACCACACCCTAACATGTAACCTTACCTCCATGGCGGAAGTTTTTAGTTCACCTCAGGTCTACCGCAGCAATATTGTGTAACCTTATGTGCCTTTCGATTAGTACTCAACATAACCTTACCTCATACTATTGTGCTATGTGGGACAATTTTTTCGTATTATAATAATAATTATAAAAATAGAAATCATCATAATAGAATCAATAATAATATTATTAATTAATAATAATAAAAAATAATAATACTAACATTAATAATAATATTCATAATTTAAGAAAAAAGTGTTTAATTTCTATTCGAAAAAAATTATATTTATGTTAAAAATTATTTTTCATAAAATTTTTTATATCAGGATTCTAATTAAAGAGGATATGTCACCTCCACAGAATTTGTAATTAAAAAACGTTTCTCCATTTCTGTTCGGAGATAAATTTTTTAGAGTAATTAAAAAAACTGTTCGAAATTTTTAATCATTCATAACAAATTTGAGAAAAAAAAACCTGTAGACGAAATGAATATTAAATTATCGAATATCGACAGAATATAAAATTATAATTTTCTTATAAAATCTTCAATTTCGTGAAAATTTTATATATACAAACGTATGCAGTTGAGAAAATTAATTAATTATAAAAATTCGTTCTCTCTCCAACTTGGCGAGAAATAATAAATATATAAGATAATAAATTATTAGGTTCAAAGACCACGAGAAATTATTTTCATATATATTTCGACCCAATTTTATTTTGAACATATACGTGTATTATATCGTTTCTGGAGAAAATTCATTTTTCCCAGACAAAGTGATAATTTAAACAAAAACGATATAATACGTTTAAATTTATTCTTGATGTAACATATAATTTAACGTATCACGAGAGAGGGTTTATTTTCATGACAATCGATATGTGGGACATAAAAAGGTTTTTATTATCGGTGCAGACAGTACGTCAGAATTTTTAATTTATCGGTCAAATGGAAATAATTTCGTATTTTCGTTCTCTATCGTCAAGGGGGATTAAATTTTTGCAAAAGAAAAATGGAAAATATGCCATATTTCAATTTAATTTAAATCTCTGGAAATTTTTTGTAATATTGTTTCTTACAGATTTTTATTAATACCATTTTCGGGGGGGGGGGGGGCTTTTGGAAATTATCGTTTTCAAATTTTTCAAAAAATTGAAAATTGCCTTTTTAAATTTTTTTAGGGACTTTAGGAATCTTCTTTTATAGTTTTGTATTAATAACTAATTTTTGGGACTCTGGAAATTGTCTTTTTCAGTTTTTCATAAATAATTATTTTTGGGGTCTTATCGAATTGTCTTTTTTAGTTTTTCAAAAATAATTCTTTTTAAGGTCTTTTGGAATTGTTTTTTCAATTTTTCATAATTAATTCTTTTTGGGGACTCTCAGAATTGTCTTTTTCAGTTTTTCAAAAATAATTCTTTTTGGGGATTTTTGAAATTGTCTTTTTCAGTTTTTCATAAATAATTATTTTTGGGGTCTTATCGAATTGTCTTTTTCAGTTTTTCAAAAATAATTCATTTTGGGGACTTTCAGAATTGTCTTTTTTAGCTTTTCATGAAAAAATCATTTTGGGGTCTTATCGAATTGTCTTTTTCAGTTTTTCAAAAATAATTCATTTTGGGGACTTTCAGAATTGTCTTTTTCAGTCTTTTAACAATAATTCTTTTTAGGGACTTTTGGAATTTTCTTTTTCAGTTTTTCATAAATAATTCTTTTTAGGGTCTTATTGAAATGTCTTTTTCAGTTTTTCATAAATAATTATTTTTAGGAACTTTTGGAATTGTATTTTTCAGTTTTTTATAAATAATTCTTTTTGGGGGCTTTGGGAATTGAATTTTTCAGTTTTTCATAAAATATT